GTGCTACGCTGCACTTCACTTCATTTTTACACACACCACCGTGCTCTTGTTTGGGTCTGTGCGTTGACTGGAGCAGATAAAGGAAGTCTGGATTAGCTGACCTTTTGCACTGTATGTGTATAATATCTTTCATGTCTTTTAAATTTCAGGATTGTGAAATACGAAGATTCAATCAAACACTGAGATTTCATAGTGCCAGCGGCTGACTTTGAAAATTTAGGTTTGTTTTCTTAAAACTGAATAATATTAACCCTGGTTAGGAAACTCCTGCTGGTTGACCTCAGTGCGCCCCAAAGGTCTACTGCGCACACAGACTGATGTTGCAAAACTCCGTTCTGAACAGCAGGTGTGGATCTTGCTGTTTGGAGTTCACTTGTCTCTGAAAGCAGACAAGCCCTGAAAGCAGGGCTGTAATTGCCTGGCTCTCAGGCTGTTTTGCACTGTGCTGGGGGGCAACCCCTGTGGGATCACTGGGGGTAGTGCCACATGTGGACCAGCGCAGCGTAGAGGAGATGTGCTGTTCCACTCTGTATTCCTTTTGCGTCCTCTGTGCCAGAGCTGGAACAATGTGATTAGGGAATAAGTATGCTTTTTACCAGTCAGAATTATTTTCCTGCCTGTTCATTCCTTCCAGGCAGTGTGCAAAAGGGAAGAGAATTGAATTTGGCAGTTGTGTGTTCACGAAACTTTCAAGAAGGGAACTGCTCTACTGCTAATCTATACACAGAAGAAGTCCCCCTGGAGACTTCTTTTGCTGCCCTATTTCGTGTGGATTGTTTCATTCATGAGATACTGAGTTTCCAGAATGGCTTTTAAAACAAAGACTGCTTAATGTTGCATAATAAGCTGGAATTCACTCATGTCTAGGGCATAGCTGGCAGTTCTGCACTGACATTGAAGCCAGAAATCATGACACTTCCAGTAGCTGAAAATCATAAAGATTTCCTAGCCATATATGTGCATTTGGCTAATTAGTAACATTCCTTTGGATTATTTAAAAGCATTGAACTGTGTTTGATAGCTGAGCATCCAGTACTTTCCAAAGAGGCCTTGCACCCTGTGCCACCGGTGTAAAGGGCAGATGGACAGATTCACTGAGAGTCTTCAATCGGTCTGCTTGGAAAAAGTCACTGTGGCTTTCTGAAGTGTAAGCAATGATTACATGCTAATATTTGTAAGTCCACTAGTTCACTTGTCTTGTGTAAATTTGTGTGCCAGCAAAGTCAAAGTCAGCAAGTCTTGTCAACTCTATGAGATTATTTTTCACCTTTTTTCCTTTAGTAAGGGAGTCTTTTAAAATGTATTGTTGGTAACAGCTGGAGATAGAGTTAGTTATAAACAGTTAGTGTTCAAACTCATTTACATGTAAATTGTTCGGCCTAATGTCTACTTATGGGAATATTCATCACAGCTTAATGGAGGTCTATACTATTTCACATTCACAATGTATATTCACTATATCCTCTTATTACTGATCATGTTAGGAGAAGATAATCCTCACATGTGCTGGCTGTATACTCCTTCTGAGGTGTTATGCTGAACGGCGAAATTGGCCATGATTTGATGTGATCTTAATCACATCAAACTTCCATATTCCATTTCCATATTCCATTCTCAGATACCCTGAATTCCTTGTGCTTCATTGCAATCAGTTATGCCCAATTATTTTTTGTTATCCAAAGTACAACTCATTTTTAAAACAAAGGATACGGCACATTTACGTTGGAGTGGAATACTTTGAAGAAATGAGCTATATTGCTGAGAACAAAAGTATTCTACACAGTGCATTTGACTTCTGTCAAATCTTTGAGTCTGTCTAATGCAGAAAAAAAAACCCAAAAACCAACACATTCTTTTAAACTAAGCTAGTGAATGTATTTTGTAGTGTTCAGTAAATGGGATTACTGTGCCAATCTCCAAGCTATGTTTTTTCTACCAGACTACAAGAGACAGTGTTTTGTTCTTGTAATTGCTACGAGTATTTGCTGTTCTATTTAATGACTAAATTGGTGCATTTCTAGCTATTACATATGTATTTTGCCCTTTTTTCCTATTAAAATCTTCCAGACAATGGTCTGAAACAAAAATATTGTGAAGAACTAAGGCAGAGGAGGGAACGTGAACCTTGTGTGAGGTGCTTGGCCAGCCCTCAGTGTCAGAGGACAGGATATTGCCTTGGGCTAAATGGCACAATGTGCTGTGCCAGACTCTTGCTGGCAGCATTTCCCTGGCACTGTCTGCTTGTTAGGGCTCTGCTTCTATAGCATGCTTAAATATCAGGAAAGATTTGCCCCTATGAATGAACAAAGATAAACATATGTGTATAGTAAAGCTAAGCATGCGCTTAGGAGCTTTGCTGAATTTGGGGCAGTAAGAAAGAGAATGCATGTGTGTACAAAGGTATCAAAGAAGCTATTCCAGGAGCTTTTCTCTAATTATTTATCTTATTTCTGAGTGCTTCAGATATTGCTGCTTGTTATCCACCCTGATGACAACTCAGAGTTGTTTTTTCCAAGTGTTGCTAAAAAGGAAAGCTAAGATCTTGGGACACTGCTGTGTGCCAGTGTCTGAATTCCGTAGCCCGGGGGACTGGGGATGCAGGGAGCCCTGCTTATCAGCATTTTCCTTCCTGTACAAGTGGCATAGATCACTTCCTCTCAGAGGAGAGAGGCAAAGAGTAGATCATTCCTAGCAAAGAAAGAATAATACACAAGAAGTGTTTTAAATGCTAAAAATGAAGGATGACTGTATTTTCAGTTTAGTCCAGTTGAGAGGAACATGAAATGACTACATGTGGGGAGCTAGAGAGACAGAAATTAGAGAATTAACTCTATAAAAACGTTTCATCAGAAGGACTCTGCAATATTCTTGTTGCTATTCTTCTATAAAACATATATAAAATACACAAAGGCTGTGCTCCCTGGCAAGATAAATATTTTCAGCTCCCCACTAATGTCAGTGTACTGACCCTCTTGATAATAAACCTGCCTTGTAATAGAGATTTCTGATACAAAGGAGTACATCTGTAGTGTCTGCCCCAGAGGCTCTCATCACTGAAACCAAGTGCTAGCCTTTGTAGTAGTACTGGTTTGCTTTTCATTTTCTTCAGCTTTTTCATTTTCTAATGAATCATAGGAACATATAATGATTTCAGTTGGAAAAGACCTTAAAGATCATTTAGTTATGATGCCCATGCCATAGGCAGGGACAACTTCACTAAACCAAGTTGCCCAATGCCCCATCCAACCTGCTCTTGAATGCCTCCAGGGATGGGGCATTCTCAGCTTCTCTAGGCAGCCTGTTCCAGTGTCCTGCCTTGTTCATAGTAAACAATATCATCCTAATATCCAATTGAAATCTACCTTCTATAAGTTTAAAGCCATCATCCCCCTTTTCTGTCACAACAGTCCCTGTTAAACTGTTCTTCCCCATCTCTCCTGCAGGTCCACTTTAAGTATTGGAAGGCCACTGTACATTCTCCTTGGAGCCTTCCCTTTTTCTAGACTAACTAACCCCATCTCTCTCAGCCTTTCTTCATCGGAGAGGTGCTCCAGTCACTTTGTGGCCCTCACCTGAATCTGCTCTAACAAGTCTATGTCTTTGAGCCTTGTCTCCATTTATAGATTCTATTAACAATACACTATCCTGCAGCAGTTCTGAGAAGTTTAAAGCTGTCTATCAGATTTCTTTTTGTTTCTGTACAAACACCCCAGACTTTTAGGGCCATTTGTCAGAGAAGTGGTATTATGGTAATAATATATATATATATTATCTTCAGATTTCCATTTTGGAATCAGAACAGCTACGGAGCAATTTCAGCTGAAGAATGAGGTCCTAACCTACATGAGTTCCTTGTCCTATCAGTGACTTTGGTGCTTTCTGTTCTGCTCATTATTTTGAGATGCTCACTGGCTCCATACATTTTGTGAAGTTTTCCTCCAGCATATCCATGTTCAGCAGTCAGATTCAGAGCCTACTGTTAACATTATGAAGGGTCTTAAATGATAACAGCAGTAGGATGCAGTCTTTTGAAGCATTTGCTTATTTGTGAGCTGGAAATGGATATTTTTGCTGGGCTCATCAAATACTTGAAGTCATTACCATATTTTAAAGAAGCTGAACAATCTACAAGTAAGAAACCTTTTCATATGAAGAATTCTCAACAATTACACATCTTTTGAAGGAATTCATAAGCCTCCACTCTAAGATCCTACAGTTTACCTCTGTATGTATACCCTATATAAGTCATACTCAGAATGATCTGTACTTGGATGACCAGTGTCCATATCCCAAACTCTCTGAACTTCAGTTTGCAAAGGATTTTGCATCAGTTATTCAGTGTCTTAACAGTATCAGCAGGTGCCTGCGATTATGTTGGGCTGCCTCACATCCTGCTAAATACTGAGACAGAAGGCTTACAGCAGATCCGCTATGTAATTGCAGTTCACTGAGTGCTTTTTGGTGCCTGACTGCGACTGGAAAAGATACTCTGCCACTTGGAACATTCCTAGTCTGCCAAATGGGAGACTTTTATTTGATGCCAAATAGAACTCTTTGTTTCACAGTCAATATTTCATTGTGATTCTTCACATAGTTGTTGCTACCGACCTCATGATGCTTCAGTGAGCACAGTTTGGCAGAACTCCTTACACATTTAATATGTTTATGTTTTGATTATATACTTTAATAGTAATGAATTTTAACATAACAGAGATTCTTATTATGGATTGGTTAGCATAGATTTTGGAATACAAAAAAACCCCAAAACACTGTGCCATTTTGTTACTTGATAATGTGAAAGGCAATAAAATGGGAGTGATACTCATGCCGTGATACAGTTTTCAATAGTACCAAAATCACCATACAGGAGCTGGAAGTTCCTGTAGTTAAGCTAGCAACATCTATGTTTGAAGATAACTATATTCAGTACATTTCTGGATCCTACAGATGTCACACTAACATATATTAAGAAATGAAAAAAGCTTTATTTCTACAAAAAATGTACTCAGAATCAACTTTATTTATAGCTCACACCTTTTTTTTTTTTTGCTAAAAATGCATAGTCATTACATATACGGTTGTCAGCATCCAAAAGTGTACAAAGAGTAAATTTTTAACCCCTCCCAGCAGAATCAAATAAAACTCACACTTTTTGTTCATTGCATGCACAGACCCTTAAATGTGATATCTCTTTCTAAAGCGTGCTTGAATCTCTAGCAGACAGAAAAAATTGACTTGCTATAAACTGTTTCTTCACACTATTACCCCCCCAGCTACAAACACAAATCCTTAGGCATTCACACAAAACAGTGAAGCACTACTTCAGAATCCTCCATCTTGCGAGTACGGTCAGCCAGGAAGCAATTGCCCTGAAAGCAGCAGTCTGCTGGTGTTTCCTTACAGGCAACTTTGAGCAAAAGCTTACTTCCTTTGCCTCAGTCGTTAATTCGTTACTGAATTCAGTGGAATGAAACAGCATCTGTCTAATCAAGTCGTGAAAATAACTGATTCCACATCCAGCTCCAGAACATTAAACATCTTGAATAGAGATCTGTATCTTTCAGCGCAGGTGATGCTTTCTCAGCACCTTGCATCCCACCTGAGGAGAACAGGGTACAGTCTCAGGTGTTACTTGGCTGTTGGTTGTGTAGCCCTGACTTACAGATGTGTAACAGATGCAAGGAATTTATTTGGATAGAGTGAATTCCTTATGATTAGAGGCTTTGACTTGATGGATCACTCAAATCTGTTGATATTTTTGTTGTAGTTGTTTTTTTGTTGTTTTTTGTTGTTATTGTTGTTCACTACCACTGCCAGTTAGAAAAGCTCTTAAAAACATTGCTCTCTACTCAATGGTGCTCCAAGAGAAGGGCAGTGTGGGTTAGTGGGATGAGTAGTCAGGGCTCCATGGTAGAGTACTCATAAGTGATAAGAAGGCCTAAATTCAGATCTGCTAAAGAATAGGATTGGTTCCATGTTGTTAAGTTTGGGAGATGAGAGGGGAAGAAAAGTTGTCTGTATGATCAATCATAGAATCATAGAATCATAGAATCATAGAATCACCAAGGTTGGAAAAGACCTAAAAGATCATCCAGTCCAACCGTTCACCTATTCCCAATGTAAGTTTGCATTCCCAAATGATTATACAATTCTTTACAAGCTTTATTTACTAAAGGTCTTTTTGCTCTGATAAGGGGTAGCTTAAAGCTGATAGAAATTGCCAGTGGTAGTTGAGCCATAAGCCTACTTTTACAGACACTGATAGGAAATCTTGCTCTCTTGTTCCACAGTAACTGCAATACAACCCATGGCTAAATGAACAAGGCCTTCATACAAACAAGTCATCAGTGAGAATTTCGGAAAACTACTTAGCTCACATATATTTTCTCTTTACTCCAGACAATTATGTATTTAATCAGCCTGTTTACTACTGCTTTAGACTGCAACTGCCCCCCTGCCTGAGGCCAGAGGAAATTTTGCCATTGACTCCAAAGGATGTGGGATACGAACTTCCTAGGAGTATGACGACAATGAGGGTTTGTCCCAAGAGTTCATGGTCTAGTAACGCTCATGTTCCTCTCTGAGTGAGATGAGGAACAATTGAATATATGACATTCTCTCTGCTGGAGTTCAGCAATATTTCTTCTTAGCACCTAGGAGGATCTTTGCATTTTTAAGTGCTTTACAAACATTAGCTAGTCTTCAGAGCAACCCTGTGAGGTAGGTACGGTATATTCTCCCCATCTTACAGAAGAGGAAACTGAGACACAGAGGGTCACATTCAACCCCGGTACAATTCCAGTGATTTACATGAATTAAATTCATTTAAAATGAACACAGTTCAAATAACTTGCCCAAGATTACAGAACAGTAGTGGCAAAGCAAGGATGAGAAAGCAGGAGTGCCTGACTCCTCAGCTTGTTACAGGCCACTTGGTCATCATTACACTCCCAGGCAAAGAAAAACAGTATAACCTGGACAACTAATACAGGTATGGTTTGTTTCTGTAAGGCATGTGGATGGTAATCAACTAAGTGCAATAACATTTTATGAATGTGCTGCCTCAGAAAGTTTACTTAAATTTAAAGTAAAGCTTTCAGACTGTCATTTTCTGTCAGGGTACTGTTGACAGAAACATGGTATCTGGATTCAGTGTATAAATAATGACACTCGAACAATTAAGCAAAACTATGGTTTTAGTAAAAACCAATGTGTTTCTACTTCTAACTGCTAAATTTCTATAAGCACAGCATGCAGATGAAAACTTCCCCTTTGTTTCCAGAATGCAGGCTCCAGTCTTGCTAATGAAGCTGCTCACAGCTGTGCAGACATTCAAATGAATACACTGCAGAAGAAGAAATAGCATTCCACCACAGAACATGGGATAATAACTGCAGACCAGGTATGTCGATCTTACACAGAGATGAGCTTGAAGCTTACAGGCACCTCCGATGTGCCCAGAAGCTAGGCTTCATCTGCCAGTATGTTGACTGCAATTCTAAGCACATGCTAATTGCAAAGCGGAGTGACTGTGTCACCAGCATAACCAACACTCTGGAAACTGACCCCACTGACAGTCAGTTCATATTGCACAGGTATGTCAGCCAGAAGGTCAGTGTTGGCCAGAGAAGGACAAACACATGTGCATTTCCAGGCCGTCCCCTTGTACTCAGCCTATCCTTCATTCTACCACAAAAAGACTGAAAAGTCTTTTTGGTTTTACAGATGAGCTATGGAGTCCTTTGCTCCCTAACCACAGTGTAGGCCTTCAGTTAAGTACCCAGACAATAAAAATATTATGACAGATACTTAAGCAAAAAAAATTGTGTTTAGGATGTCCTTGTGCATCTGGCCTGCAGGTCAGACCGCCTGACTGAGCTCTGGATGTGCCGATAGACATTCAGCCATGTGTGCTTTCAAATCAGAGATCCTGCCTCCTTACAAGCCACACAAATGCAGACATTGACTTCTAAGAGCAAATTCAAGCACTATAAATATAGATGTCTTGTTCCACTTTTAATCTCTTTAACTCAGTTTTGTTTCTCCTTATTCATGGACACTTGCTATTGAACATGGCAAACGGAGCAATTATCTGCACAGAATTGTCCTTGCTGAATAAATACACACTCAAGAAGTGTTTCCCTAGATATTCTGCGCACTCATTGTAACTTTTTAGTTTACTGACATATAAGCAAACAGACAAATGAACAAACAAATGTTCATTAGAATTCCATAAAACGAATCACGTCTCCCTCCACACAAGGCTCCCGATACACAAGGTCTGCTTACAGAGGCTCAGAGAGCAGTACCTGCAACCAGTATTTGCAAATAACTCCACAAAGTGCTCGGCCTCATGCATGTGCCTCAACATTTTGCCAATAGAAATGTTTCAAATGAATCAATATTCTCAATATCAGGTCCTGGTACCAAATCTGCAGCGCAACTGGGCCTCACAGGCAACTGTTAGGACGCTCCAAGATTCCAGTAAAATTGCAGTTGGTTGCAATCCAACCTTTATACTGTTATCTGAAGTTGAGATATATATAGACGACCCTGTGTGGCCTAACTGCAAATATCAAATGTATTTTTACAAGTTAGCAACAGCCTTTTTTGACATTGCCTCTTGAGATGTCCTCTACATTGTGAGTGACAAGCACAACTATAATTCATTATGCAGTATGCTTTAACAGCCTTTTTTTACATTTGGCTTTAATTGTCACTTGTTTCTAAGCTGTCTGCTAGTGCTGAGATTTACTGTCCCCAGCCTTTTTGATTTTTTTCCTAGTTTTTAATTGCTGGTTGTACATGCCAGTGGCATCTCCCAGGCAAGCAATTTCTAAATAATTAGTTTTGAAACTTGGATGAGTCATTTGGGCTCTAACCATTATGCATCTATTATTTTAACTTGAATACAGTACATCTCAGAGATACCGACCTCCTTCTGAAGCTGTGGAAATTTATAGCACAGCATGGTTGCAGGTCTTGATCCATTTGCTTTCTGGTGTGAGCTTCCAGTTCTTTCTTTTCTTGTTTTGTTTTGTTTTGGTTTGGTTTGGTTTTCTTTTTTTTCTCTTCTCCATGGTATGAAAGACACATCAGAGCATGACAGTGCCATAAACCAACCTCTCCTATGGTGCAAATTGTTTTCTGCTTTACTGGCAGCTCAATAAAGCAATGCCATAATTATGATAAGTCACTGAAAATATTCAACCTTAACAATACTTTGTGTATTTTTAATTTCCTTTCAATGCAGGTTGACAAATGAAAACAAAACACAGACAGCCACATAGAGAATGCTGTTTTTTATGGACCATCAGTGGTAACACAGGAGGTCACAGACTGGGAGCCAGTGTTTTTGAAAATTCTAACCAGTCCCTCTGAGAGACCGTATGTGACCTCACCACAAATTACAGAATTGCTGCTGGCAAAGAACACTTATTTTTGTTAGGCCATTCTCATTATTTATAAAAATCTAAAAGATCCAATCTACTGTTGTTAAAATGGGTTAAGATAAAAGGCAAAATGAAGCAGACCTGTATTTTCCTTTAGCTTGTATACTTTCACAGGGAAATTTTCACAAGTCTGACATTGGTACAGGACATATCAATTATTGGTTTCTGTGATGATTCTGACCCATATTAAGGACATGACCTCATAATCACTAGCTAGAGCCCCTCCTATACTCTTGTTACAAACAAAGGGGACTTTGTCTTGCAGAAGACCATGCGACTGGACTCAAAACATACACTTGGAGTTTGGATGCCAAGTCCATGAAAATGGGAAAGATGCAAGCAGAAGTATTTCCACAATAGAAGCAAAGAGGCTGAGTTAAAGAAGCACTGTGCTATTGTGCGGTATGACATCAGTGGAAGGAAGTACCACCCTTCTTTTTGAAAATGGGTATACAGCAGTTTCACACCTGAACTTCAAGTTGTAACCCTTTGAGAAATATTATTGCACGCCTGTTACTTGTTCTGACAAAATCAAAATGCATGTTTAAAATCTGCATGTAGTTTAAAAAATTTCTCTTTATATGAAGAGTAAATTAAATCTATGGTTAGTTGTTTGTGGTGTGAGAAGGATATTACCTGGGTTGCTGAGAAAAGACACGGCTTTGGAAAATAACTTGTAATTGTTCTCTTTGAACCCCCCTGAAGGTAATAGATGAGGACTTCAAAGCACCCAGCTGTAGCCCAAACTGATCAGCATAGGAAAAAGCAGGGAATTACATGAAAATGTCAATTTCCAGTGCTCATAGGTCTTGAACTCATACTCAGCACCTAATTTTTGGATGGTAAATTTGTCAAAGTGCTCTAATTAAGGAGCAGAAGACACCAGTTCCACGTAATTATTTAAAAGACCCAGAATAAGATCTCATGCATCACTTATTCTCTTTACATCCACAGAACTTCCACCGAGCTTGGCAGGAGCTTATAGAAAGTCTGGCATTTGACCTTGACTCTGAAGGGCTGATTTTGGGGTGATTTACTGGGGAAGATAAAGGGGCCCCCTAGCAACCCCCTGAAAGTGACAGATGTTCCTGACGTGCCGGGGAAGAGCTGTGCCATTATGCAGTGCCCTTCTTCCCCCCCACCCCCACTTTAAAACCATCTGATCCCTTTCTGGTTCAATTATTTTACATATTCCTGCATTATATTGTAGAATCCGAGCGGCTACGCCAACCACTCAAGCTTCACTGCCCGTCTAATTAAAATCTCTCCGTCAACTGGTAATTCTGTAATAATTCACAGCTGGTTTTGCTCTCTATTAAATCTATTATGTTCCCTGGCTGAAAAAGGCTGTGAGGCCTTAAAAAGTATCGACAGCTATTAATTTGTTTGCATTTAAAATCCAGTATGTGGCTGCAAAGGCCTGTTACAGTATCACAGAGGAAGATAAATGTCAGTGCATAATCTGCTAGGAAATTTCACACAGGAATTGATTAAAAGTCTATCAGCAATCATTGCACGAGTGTGTCTTCAGGTGTATATATATATATACATATATATATGTAGCTAAGAAATAAATAGCTCTCTATATAAATATGTATATATAAACACAGCCAGTTTAAACCTAATTGTTATGAACTAGTAAGTGGCATTCACAGTTCATGCGTTCTTCCTAGTAGCAGAGCTTAATTATTTCAGCTTATACTTTAAGCAGCAACATACCAGTAAGCGTTTGCTTGCTTCCCCTGGTAACCTAGTAGTTTAAAGAGTACGAGCAGTTTCACCATTGCCGTTTTCTCTGGAAACCTTCTTCCATAGGTATCTTTCCGCCAGGTTCACAGCATCTTCAGGACACGGCTGAGCCAGTCTGAGGGTCACCAGCATGAAGGTCATCAGCTCAACCATCTCCAGCCCAAGGACCGATAGTACGGTGGCCACCGGCACGGTCAGTCCTGCTTGCAGAGGTCTGCGACACTGAGGAACCTCCTGACGACCACAGCCAGGCAGACCGTCAGCAGCAGCATGTACCCCACGGTGCCCAGGTAGGTGGGAGCGGCTGGGGCTGCCTTGAGGAACTCGGCCAGCCCGTCTTCCACGTAGTGCACCTGGTCGTAGATGCTGAGGAAGGTGAAGATGTGGAAGAGCTGGTGGCTGTGCCCCACGATGTCAAACAGCCCTGGCTGGATCCGCTCGGGGATTTTGCTGACGTTGAAGAAGGCAGCCACCAGCAGCCAGAAGTAGCGGCGGTAGAAGTAGACGAAAAGCGTGGGGTTGCGCGTGCGGAGGTCAAAGATGAGGCTCTCCAACATGATGGGGCAGGCCATGCTCAGCGGCATGGCGAAGACGAAGGTGCGCACGGCGAAGGGGTAGGCGCAGCAGGCGGCGCGGCTGCGGCAGCAGGCGGCCGTGCATCCCACGGCCAGCGCCAGGGCCACGGGCAGCACCAGGGCACGGTAGGCCGCGATGGGCAGGCTGCAGTCCAGCTGCCAGCCCAGCTGCTGCTGCACGTAGCGGCTCAAGACGCCGGCATCCAGCAGGCTCAGCCCCGGCAGCAGGTAGTAGGAGTAGGCCACGGTGCTGGCAAAGCCGTAGTAGCTGATGGAGGCGTAGTCCAGGTAGAAGAAGGCGGCGCGGAGGCGCGGGGAGAGGCAGCTGAAAAGATGGGCCGTGCAGCTCATGGCGAAGGTGAGCAGCACCCCCGAGGCGTAGCACCAGAGGGGCAGCAGAGCCGGGTGGTGGAAGGGCACGTCCCCGGCCCCCCGCAGCAGCAGCAACCGCCCGAAGCGGCTGAGGAAGAGCAGCAGAGGGATGAAGTGGGTCCAAAAGTTGAGCGTCTCGTTGGTGGGCTGCAGCACCGAGGCCAGGCACTCCTGCGCCGAGCAGTGCAGCCGTCGGTAGCCCGAGAGGATGAAGCACTCCACGAAGTCCTCGGGCACCTCGTCCCAGCGCAGCAGGGCGGTGGGGCGGGCGGGCGGCGCCGCCTCCTCCTTGTCCCCCTCGCCCCCCGGCATGCTGCCCCCGCCGGCCCCCGGACCCCCGGCAGCCCCCCGCCCGCCGCCCGCCGCCCGCCGCCGCCGCCGCCGCCGCCGCCGCCCGGGCGAGGTGGAGCCGCCGCTCCCGCAGCCGCCGGCGGAGGAGCCGCGGTGGCTCTGCGCTTTTCCTCCTCCGCCGCCGCCCCCGGCAGCATCACTCATTGCAGCACGGGCAGCGGCGGCACCGCCGCGCCTCCTCCCGCCCCGCCGCCCGGCATCGCGGTAACTGGAAACCGGCGGCGCATCCAGCGCGCCCGGGGGGCCGGGAGAGACGCCCCCGCCGCCCCGGGTACGGTTTCTCGGGGAAGGAGGCGCCGGACACCCGAGCCGCAGTTAATGATTGATGCGGCCGCGGCGCGCGTTTCCCGGCGGGGGGCGGCGGCTGCGGGCCGAGCCCGGGGGAGATCCCCGGGAGAGCCCCCACGGCGGTGCCCGGCGGAGCTCAGCCCCGGCCGCGGCCCCGGGACGGCCCTCGGCGGCCCCCTCTCGGCCGGAGCTCCGCCGGGCACCGCGGGGGGCGGGCGGGGACGGCGGCGCGGGGACACGCGAGCCGCCCGGCACGGGGTTCTGCCGCGAGCAGCTCCCGGTGCGCGGAGCGGGCGGCGGGCGCGGCACCGCCTTCCTTACCCGCGCGGCTGCCGAGGTGGCACTGCCGAGCGCGGCTCATCGGCTGCGGCGGTGCCGGTGACAAAGGCGGGGCGGAAGGCGCCACAAAGATGACGGTGACCCCGGCGGGTCGCGCTGTGCCCCGGCGGTGCCCCCGGGCGGGGGACATCGGCGGATGCGATTTCTGCCGCGTGCTCTACACCGAGGCCGCGGTCTTCGGTGACGTTCTGTCATGCGGCGAACGCAGAAGCTGTTTTAGGCTGAACGTTCGGGGCCCTGGCTGCAAAAGGTGTGTGTATGTCACACTGACACACTGGGCCCCCATCTTCTCCCTGCTGTGCGAGCGGCGCGCTGCGGACCGCAGGGGCGCAGTGATGGATCGCCGGGGCTGCGCGGGGCTGCGTGGGGCCGAGCCTTACACAAATCCCACACTTAGCAATGCGGTTATGCAAGTGGCACGGTTACATAATGAGAATATATAAATCCAGGGAAAGCAGTGGCAGTGTGTTGGTGTGCGGTAAGAAGTTTGGGGTAAAGGGAAGAAAGCGCAGAAGGTGAAGTGACCTGCAGGCTCAGGCGGCAGCTGGAGTACAGGGCTGTCCTCTGCTGCTTCCACGTGTTTCCTTTCTGTTTGCTTTCAGCACACATGAGTGGTCTTAAACATCTTGTGCATTTTCATGTGTCTTTACTGCACTATAATATTCTGATATATATGTAAACTCATGCAGTATAATCTCAGTACAGCATAATTAGGGTGCCATACCTTATGAGTTTTATTAAAATCTATTCAGTAGTGAGTAGTGACAACGTGCAAGGTACTGTGAACATAAAGGTGACCAGAAAAGTGTTTTTAAAAACTGGCACAAAAGAAGCAGTAAAAATGTGTTGCTAAAAGTGATGTTCAGTGCATTTTTCATTACAAGAAAACATTGATTTTACGGAACTGTCCAAAGTAGGGCACACTGATGGCTCTGCTTGTAATCTTTACAAAAATAAAGCCTGCTAGGAAAATAAACACAGCTGAAACAGTACTGGGAAGTTAATGAGAGTAAAATATTAAACAAATGGGCTTATTTTTTAGATAACGGGCCTAAAGCGTTCTGATATCCATGCATGTTAGAGGGTGGGAGGTGGAAGCCTGGTAGCCTGCAGGAACAACAGTCCTTGGGGTGAGCAGAGTGCTCTGTGGGCTCTGCAATGTGTGCTTTAGGGAGAAGAAAGTCTCTTCGGGGTTAAACTGCTCAGCCTAGGGCAGAGGTCCATCTTCTGATGGGGTGCTCTGTGCTGAAGAAGCCCCAGGAGCAGACAGGATAGATGCTGCCCATGGGCTGTGTCACTGTGGTTGTCCCTACTGGTGAGGTGGTTGGCAGCCAGATGTCTCCTCCCTGCCCTACTCCCACCCTACTGCGTGGTTCCTAAGTGATGCTTTCATCTCTGATAGTGAATGCCACCGCAGGCCTTAGGCATCAGGCCAAAGTGAGTGTGGTCTTCAGCCTCCCTCCTCAAGGTTAGGTACAGAGAGGTGGCTGGAAGCCACGTGGTTCAGACCTGCACTGAAGAGCCTGCTGGAAAAGCACCAGCAGCTGTTGTGACAGATGGTCTAAACAACAGCAGCATCCGCTGCTGATGGAAGCGCTGGGCTGCAGCAGCAGCAGGACTTGTTCGGCACTTCTGTCTTTCCCACAGGCAGGAGGCATTTAGTCCTCTTGCCTTGAGAATATTGCCTATCTCCTGGCTTCCTGCGAGAAACACCCACTGGGTCTGTGGCTCTGTGGGAAGTAGCCCTGCTGGGAATCAGCACGTGGAACTTGCTGATGGTTCCGGATCCACAGTGGCACCTGAATGTCTGGGCGCTGGTGAAGATATGCACTGCTGTCACTGCAGTGAAGATAAATGCCTGGAAACTTTTCCCCATTGTTCTTGTCTTCCTGTAGGATTTTAAAATGCGCTAAGATAACATTCTGTGGGATGGAAGCTTTTGGTTTTCCAGCGCTGGGGTCAGATAGGAATATGCTGCACAGTCCCTGTGCTCCTTGGCAATAGGTAAAAAGATGCTGTGAACTCAGCCAGTTCTGTCCTGCTGTGTGTCTCTAGGCTGTGTCCCCGTGCAGCCGGCACTGTGGGCTAAATGCAAATACTTCTCTGGAAGAAGGACAGGGTTATGGTTGCTGTCTGGTTCTGTTTGCTTTGTCCCTGTGGGTTTACCTGTCAATGTTGTCAATATAAATACAAGCAGTACTACAGATAGATTGCAAGTTCCTTTTCTCTATCTCTGTATGGGCACAAGCTTGGGCTTTTGCCAAGTGTTTAGGTAATGTCACACGTGTAGGATTTGGGTCTCCTTGTCTGGACAGAAAGCACCATGGTGATCTCAAAGCTTCTAAAGATCACTGTTCATATCATTTCCAAGTGAGTCCAACACAGCTGTAGGAGCTACAGTAATGAAATTAATCACCAGCAGTCTGGTTCCTTTTTTTCCAGGGCTGCTGTCTCACGGGAGAGAATGATCTCCAAGGACAGACTGGCTTTCATAAAGACAGCCGTATACACCTTATGTAGGGTTAGTTATTCTGTTTGCAAGCCAGCTGGAGTAGTGTACTGGGAACCTTACAGTTTAAAGCTCTTACAACCTTAAAATAGCTTCTTATTTGTGTAGTACATCAAGGTCAGTATTACTTGACTATTATGTGGTTGGGAAGGGAAAGTCAGGGCATTTGGAGGTCACAGAGAGGAGTCCACAGGCTGTAGTGTGTGAAGAAGCCTCAGTGCATTGCTCTAAACCAGAGGGTTTATATTTAGAAGGGCATGATCAGCATATAGCTGGGTTTCTTCTAGCATGTGTAGAATGTTCTGCAGGCTTTGTCTCAAAATAACCTTTGAGAAGACTCTTAAAACTCTGGTGAAGGCATTGTCTAATGAGGTAAATAATGGGAGGTAGTGTTCATCAGTGCTGGCATGAAGAATCAAAGAAAAAGTTTTCCCAAAATACCAAATGTGGATTTGTTTCTATAGCATGCTTTCATTTTATTCACATTTGAAGTCCTTTCACAATGTATCATTTTGTCTAAAATATCACAAGCTCTGTAAAATACTGTGAATTACTTCAGTCATCCACAATGAAATTATGCCTTTCAGGTAGAAAAAAAAGCTGATTTCATCGTTTGTGCTCTGATTTATACAGCATGCTTGGGAGGAGGTCCTGCTTAGCCCTCCTGTTATCCACTGTCTTTCTGAGCAAGTAAAGAAATTAGATCTACAGCTAGAGGAAGTCTGTGTGTTAGCAAACGCTGTGGTGGTTGGCAGATTTACAGTGCTTTTGGAGATACAGCTTCAGCCTCATCCAACTCAGCCCACTCAGAGTGGGGCGAACATTAATCAGAAGGAATCTCTTTAATGGTAACACTTTGCCATAAAATGCTCTTTTTCACTTCTTTTGCCTTTTCTACATTTCAACCTTCAAGACAGATTTTACTAATCTCTTTCTTAATCAGAAATTTTCTCTGAGTAGAAACATCTAACCTGTGTGCCCTGGATGTTATCCTTCTTCACTAAGATCTCTCCAGTATTTGACTGTTCCGACATCCATCGTGGAACCCCACGGACCAGGAGTGAGGGCAGAATTTGGCTGTATTTATTTAAAAGAGTAGGGAAAAGGAAAAGGAAAAGGAAAGAGAGGCTCTAGCCTCATCTCACTTTGTCTAATGTAGCTTATTCTTGCAGTTTCTCTGGTGGAATGTACAGAATCACACAAACATTTTCCTCTCTGTGATTTTTTATCCCTTCTCAACTTCATATCAGTCTCTTGAAAATAATGTCTTGACGGGTAACTTTGTGCTGTAGCGAATGTGATCTTTTGTAATAATTGAGTAGGCATAGTGCTTTGATCTAATATTGAAGAGGTTAACTTGCCCTTAGCCATCTACCCCATGATCATGTTCAGACTGGATAAACAGGAATCCTTGCATCATTTTCTCCTTCTTAAGTAACTAATTAGGGCCAATTATACTTTATAAATATAACTCCTTAATAGATATGCAAAGTGGAAGTGATGTTTGGATTTTAAAGCCTCAGCTATAGTTCGAGGTTAGAAAAGATAGGTATGGTAAAGGAAATAGCAAAGCAATTGCTAAATACTGGACAAGCTGGAAGAATAAATCCCAGCACATTTTAAGAAAATTTATCTGAATGCCTTTTTTAAGTTCTTTTTTTTTTTTAAAGATTGGGGGTAGATTTTGTGTCCTTCTGGACACTGGCAAACCTGAACATAAGTATTGCAGTGAAATTAGTTTGACTGTGATGAAGAATAGCATACTGGGTGCATGCATATTTCACAAATGTTCCCTGTGATCAGAATCCATCACTGTCCTCCCTACAGGGTACCTACAGCAAGAGCAAAGTAAGCTCAAAGTAAGCTTGTCCTTTGTGAGTGATTGTAGGGCTGAACCCTCACTTGCAAAATGCATGGCCAAGGAAAACTTGCTTGTTTGCATGTGCACAGCTAACTCAAATACCAAGTGAGGGAGTTTTCCAGAGCACAAATTGATATCACTGTTGGTAAACTCAAAGAAGGAACTCTTGGTATGGAGAAAGGAAAGGCTGCACTCAGAATTTCCATGCTTTTAAACAGATGATAAATTTTCACATCTGGACTCTATCCACATAGGTTAATTCTCTGTAACAAGAAGTTGCAGAAGAACTTCTGGAATTAAGCCTTACTGAAGAACACTGAAGAACTTACTGAAGAATTGCAAATTACTGACCTTTCTCTGCTAAATAGCAGAAATCTGATGTTGCCCCCATAACCAGTCTGGGGAGTCCCAGAGAGAGAAGAAACTCTCAAGACAATAAAGCACATCTCCTAGAAGAGCAGCGGGGATCTGGGAAGGGAAAGCAGCTGCAGAGCAGGAGGACTAGAGCGGGATGTGGAGTTGAGAGAAGTGCAGCAGGGCTGGGAGATAAAGCAACGTGGAGGAGACTCAGCCAGGTGACAGAGAGGAGGCACAACAGGCACTGGCAATCTAGGATCAAACTGCTCTCACTCAGCCACCTTCTATAGCTTTTTCTTCTTTTTACTATTCAGGGGGTCCCAGTTGCAGTCCAGTGTCTCCAAGCAGCCCAGGCTGCAGCTGCTCTGTCCGTGGGCACTGATGCATCTCCTCTCTACTTTGCTCTCCTTCCATGCTGCACACTCAGCTTCCAACAGCAAGTGAGTATGCAGGGAAGGATCTTTCTGCCTGTTTTGGGAACTCTTACCTATGGCTTTTAGTCTCAGAGGTGGGAGGACACAAAAGGTAGAATAAAGAAAAAGAAGCTGGGAAACTGCTGCCTATGCGATGGGAAAACAGCACACAGTGACAGTGGCTTTAGGGATCTGTGAGCTATTACTGAGAGTGCAAAAACATAGGGTTACAAACCTGTCCACCCTGTAGCTACATTTATGTCCTACTCCTGATTTGCTTTCTTATGCCCTCAGGTGTGCTTTCATTGCTACAGGGCAAGGAGCATCCATGGCACATAAAATCTTCCCTGTCCTCTCATACCCAGCTTTGCAAAAGGAGCTGTGATTTTGTCCTGAGGTGAGAGGAATGGGCAAAAATGGTGAGAGAGCACCTGTGGAAGTGGGGATAAAACAGGCAGAAAGACAAATGTAGTGCACTGCACTGTGATTTACTGAGTGTAGTTTAGTGTTCATTATTTAAGATAATTCATGATTTTCCCTATCATTGCCTAATTATATCTGTCATTATAAAAACAGTTAATAACTCCCATGTTTGCATACAACCAGATCTACTTCGTTATAATGAAAAATCTCTGGTATTTCCTTTTTACTACGATCATCTACCCTTTCCAGCATGAATCCTCCACGGAGTTATGCATCTCACTGCATTCTTCCCTTCCCTTCCCATCCCATCCAGCCCAGGGCATAATGCCATTCACTAACTGTATGTGATTGCTACCGTACTATTGTGATGTGTTATAAATAGCACAGTTTCAGTATAGTTCACTCTGAAAAAGTATCTGTAGAGATGACCTTTGGAATACCAACTGTGCATTTCTTGTTTTTCCCTTTCACAGCATGCAGTGGATCATGATGCTCTTAATTGGTGCAGTTTATTAATTACAAAGGAGCATAGAAGCTGAGTGGTAAGCAGAGGATTTCTACAATGAAGTGGATAATTAAAAAGGATTAATGAGGTGGATTAAATAAAGGGATTGAGGCCAAATGGAGCACAAATTTTTGAAACATTAGTGGCCCCAAACTGCTACATGCAAGGGCACGTTCCTTTCCAGTTTGATGTTTGTTTTTACCCAGAAGTGTCAGTCTTTCTTTCAAACCAGGTTTATCAGCATATTCCCAGGAGAGCTGAGCAGATTTTGTCCCTCCTCCTGTGGCCCAAAGTGCTCCTTCTGTCCAGTACAAGTTCCCATCTGGTTTGCTTTCAGCTCTGTGCTGCACCTGTTTCCACTACCACATTAAAGACAAAACTCAAAGGATGTAATGGATGACACTAATCCTGTGCTTCCTCAATCTGCTGAAGTGCTTCTTAATAACCTCTTTCTCTTTAAGAAAGATGGAGGAAAAAGACTTTGCTGGGATTCTGAAACAACAGAAGCCTGCCTAATCCACCCCTAAAGCTTCTTGGCTAACAGCATTCCTTCCTGCGGAAAGGCTTCTCTGTGGGCAAGTTTGGAGCACAACAAAGCCTATAGGACTGATGCAATTGCCCCCAAATTCTGCTGTCAACAGCTGGGTTTTTCTTCTCCCTCCTGCTCCCAAATCAGAAGTGGTTCCACTTCAGATCTGAGCAGAGCTTGGAGGGACTCAGCAGGCAGTGGAGGCGGCTGCAGAGATGGAGAGGAATCCCCCAGGGTGGGAGGTGGGAGGGAGCTGGTACAGTGCTGTGGGAGCGGCAGGTAAACACTCACTGTGATATTTAAATCAAGTTCCCTTCTGAAGAGTGCTCATTAAACATCTGATATCTCTTGATCCTTACTCCCAATCCATTACCGGATCATTTTTGCATAGTTATTTTGCAAATGGTAGAGGGAGACATACATTTTTCTGCCACATGACCCCCATCTGTCTGCCTTGTGGATTTCTCAGTTGCAGTAGTGCTATCTGGCCAAGCACTTACTTGGCTGGAATAGGAAAGCAATTAGTATGTAGGTAGTTATTTGCGTCGGTTTCCTTTTTTTGGTGTGACTCATGAAGCAGAAATCACAGGATATGGTCATTGTAATATCACTGCCCATTCTGAGCAATGGGGAGCTCATCTGTGGAGCACACAGGATTCCTCGCACGTGATTTCTGCTTATCTCCCCACGCCAGTTAGTAGTGGAAGCAGCACTTCGGAGCTGGGCCCACGCTGCCAGATCCGCTGCCCCTCCCAGCAGCAATATTGCCCCATTTATAATTGCTCAGTGTAGGCAGTAGGTAGCACACAACGGGGAGAGCCCGCCCCTTGAGCAACGCCGCCCGGGCCGGCTGAACGCCACCAGCCACCGCAGCCTCGCCTGACCCCGCGCTGCCGCCGGGCAGCTCTGAGCTGCGGCCCCGCGCGGCCCCTGCTGGAGCCCGGGCGCTGCGCTGCGCCCCGCGGCGGCTCCTGTCCCCGGGCGCTGCCGCTGTGCACCGCACGCAGGAGGGCTGCAGGTAATTCTATTTCTGTCTGGGTTTCTATGCGAACATACTGATGAGAATTTTCAGGTTTTTTTTGGATGAGATGTTTCTCCTTTTCTTGAGCTCCGAAGTGATTGATGCCCCCCATCAGCGCAGGCTGCTCAGGGCCCCATCCAGCCTGGCCTTGAGCACCTCCAGGGCTGGGGCACCCACAGCTCTGCGGGCAGCAATGCCAGCGCCTCACTGCCCTCTGAGTAATGACTTTCCTCGTAATATCTCATCTAATCTAAACATACCATCCTGGTTTTATCTGCACTGTCAAATGTAGTTATTAGCGTAAGCTGCTCTCTACTGTGGCTCACGTGACCGTAGGCGTTAGGAGTTGGTGGATTTAAAGCTTTCATTCATTTCCGTGCCTTTTCCTTAAGTATTACCACAACCCCACCATCTTTTGCATTATGATGAGAACTCATAGGAACAAGGGAACACAAGATTCATGTAAAATGTAATGTGACCTCTGGGCACAATATCCACTTAGCAGTGTTCAGTAATAAGAAAGTTGCCACCGTGTTGTGATATCAAGACCAAAAATCAGAGGATCTGCTCTGCCATCCTGTTTGTGCCACACGCAGAGAGCAGGTTGGTTGTGCGTAGGTGAGCCAGTCCCTGCTGCTGTCTCTGAAGCTCTTGTGGGAAAACGCCCAGCAATTGGAAAGACCCTGCACTATCAGCCTTTGTCTCCTCCCAGGGGCTCAGGCAGTGCAGACCAGTATTTTTTATGTTAATAGAGACCCCTCCCATCGTGTGTGACCGTGTGTCCTTCACAGCAGCTGTAAGGATTGCTGGTGCCTCCCGAAAACGCAGCGGTGTGCCTAGGAATAGCTGCCTTGGGACAGGAGGGCGTCAGGTGGGTGCTGCCTGTGAATGACTGCCTCTCAGGCTGGTTGCTAAGGAGGTTGGGGTTGCCTAGCGACTTCATTTGGGTTTTCCTCTGCTAATGTGAAAGCAGGAGCCCCAGATGGGACACAGACAGCACTTAGACCAAAGAGCTGCAAGCAGAGTGGGACGCAGGCATGTCCGTGCAGTCTGGGCTGGTCCTGGCTCTCCATGGAGGAGGTGGCATGGGGACAGGCCCAGCTCACGGCTTTCACTCAAGATGCTCTTCACCTTGCTGGCATGGCGAGGCCCGAGGAACCATGGGTTCCCTGCTCTGGGGTGCTGCTGTGGGTGCAGCAGGTGAAGGACGCAGCTGGGCCCATCCCACACAGCCCTGCCGCTGCCGCCCTGTGAGGGGCTCAGGTTCTGACAGCTCTTGCAATGCTTCTGCTGTTCGTAAAATACCCACGCTGGGCCCGTCAGGCTGTCCTGCACCAGGTGTGTGGTGCTGCTCACCGGCATCTCTGGGTGACGGCGCCCCGCCACTGCACCGACTCGATGAAAAAACGGAGCGGGGTTTTGGACAGGACCGATGCCGGAGCCGTGTGCCGGCCGCTGTACCTGCAGGAAGATGGCACTTACCACAGCCCCGCCCCGGCAGAGACTGAAGCCCACCAGCTTTCGTCCCCCCGCGGGACGGGAAGAAATTTGTTTTTGCAGAGTTTAACACGCTCACACCGGCACCGTGCCCGTCTGCAGCAAGGTCCCGCCTCGGCACGCGGCTGCCGGGCCGACGGCGGCACGGTGACTCAGCGCTCCGCGGGCAGGGGCGGCGGACGGGACGCGGCGGCCACTCCGCGGGCACGCGCACGGCGGACGGGGGGCGGCGCGGGGGCGCGCGAGCCGGACACCCGACGCAGGCCGCCCCGTCGGCGTCTCGGCGCTCGGCTGTCCGCCCTGAGCGGGCGGGGCCTTTCCGCTGCCATCCGCGGTTCGGCGCTCGCTTCCTCGCCGCCGGGGCTGAGCGAAGGAAGAGGCAAGATGGCGGACAAGGCGCCCGGCGGCTCGCAGAAAGGCAGTGGGAAGGTGAGGCCGTTCCGCGGGGCGGCCCGAGGCCCGGCAGCCCGTTCCGCCGCCGGGGGGTGTAACGGCCGCGACCTGCCGGCGGGCGGCGGGGATCAGGAGCTGCGGGGCGGGCGGCGCGGCCTGCCGAGTCCCCGCGTCCCCGCCCCGGCTCCGCTCCTGCGCGGCGGGACCGCGGCCCGGCCGGGGAGAGGCGGGAAGCGGGCGGTGCGGCGCGGTCGGGGTCCGAGCCATCGCGGGGCGTCCGCAAGGCGCCGGGCAGCGGGCTTCTAATGGGCTTCTAACGGGCCTCTAACGGGCTGGCGGTCCCCGTTCCTCGGCCGCGGGAGGCGGCAGCGCCGCGTCGTTCCTCGCGCCTTTCGCCGCGCGTTCCGTGTGCCGTAATGGCCGCGTTGGGTGCGAGGGCCGCGAGTCCCGGCGGCGCTGCCTCGCGCACGGCGTGTCCGCGGCCGCGCTCCGCCAGCCCGGAGCCGGGCCTTCCTCGAATTCCGTCCCGTTTGCGGCGTGGAGCGGCCGGGCTGCGGGCGGCCCGCGGGTTGGGGCTGCAGTGCTGTCTGCTTCCCTCGGTCTGGCAGATCTTAGACCAGAAGGACAAAACTTCTCCTGACCGTTCTTCCTTTGATTTTTTTTTTTTTTTTTTTTTTTTTCTTCGTCCCGTAATGTGAGTGTGGAAACCGGTCAAGGGAGAATTTTGGCACAGGAATTTTGGCACGGGAATTTCTGGTGCTGTAGAGATAAATGTTCTTTTGCTCATTTTTTTGTTATTCAGCTAAAGCAGGATTTCTTTATTATTATTATTATTATTATTATTATTATTATTATTATTATTATTATTTTGCTTGGAAACCAACTGAAATTTCGGTACTGAGAGTGTTTGCATTAGAGAGGGAGTTTTATTTTTGCTTGCCTTTCATGGCCTATTCCAAATATTGTCAGGAAGTATTTCTTGCATCTTGCCTTTGGCTTGGAACTGTGAGCAGGATCTGGATAGAGAATTTGTGTGGAAAGGCTTCCAGAGGTCTGGGGGTGGTGGGATTACAAGTATAATTAGGCACTGAATTATAGTTTATAGAGCACTGCAACCAATCGCATGGTGTACAAAGCAGCTCGTGTACAATCCTCTCCTTTTTTACAGTTGTGCTTTTTTAATTTATTATTTTATCAGTGTATTATTTCTGTATTGATGCCCTTTTTCAAGTTTATAATAATAATTTTTAAAAAACCCACTTTCCTTAGTTCTGCAGTGCTGTGTGCAGACTATCCTTCATACTAAGTCATGCCATTGAAATCAGTGGCAGACTGCAATGTTGAACGAATATGTGTTAATTTCTCAAGACCTAGAGTTCTCAGGAGGCCCTAAGCCTTGCCACCTCCCTGCAGTTCCACCTCAATTCAGTTTCTTATTACTTCAGAGGCATGTGCTGTGTTCCCGGTGGCCTTTTTCTCATGCTAAATATTGTAGACCTTGTTTCATCAATGTTATTGTATGTAGCAAAGAAAAGAATGGTTCATGGAATGTTTGTATTACTGTTTTGATTGCTTTCTACAAGTAATTATGCAACATTTTGATTTTTTTTTTTTAATTTATTTACTTAAGAATAAATAAATCAGAGTTTTAGGTTCCATTTCCTTTGGTGCCTCGTGTTTGCAAGTTATAAGATATGTTTTGTAAACTCCATAGGATGTGTTTTACTGGCAATTTTGAGATGTTCCCTTGCTGGCTTCCACCCTGTCTTCTGGGAAGAGCACTGTGATGTGTTTCCTGTGCTCTAAGTCTGGTGACCTGGCAAGTGGAGGCTTTAAAACTTGCAGTTCCTCCCATTCACAGCATGTGATGTTTGTTCTTTGGTGTTTGTGTCCAAGCACAGATTTGCAGTATATGAATTCACTTTTAGAGACTATCACCAAGTTTATTTCAGTCTGGTATTGTCTGTTTGCTTCACTGTTTGGTGGCCATCCATTGAGATGGTTGGGGCTAGGAGCATCCATTGTCTGTGTTGCCATGGTGGTAGCTGCTTTTTATAACTTAAATAAATTTGAGAGTGTCTTATATGAAATGTGTTGTAAGAGCATCATCTACATGTTAAGGTTAGGATAACAAGGTGTGCCTAAGGTTTCTAGAAAAATAACTGGTAACAGAGGACAAAATGAAGGAGGAGGAAATGAAGGTTGCCAAACACTACATGGGAGCTCGTTGTAAGATGTAGTTCTAAAATGGCAGATTCTAATTCTGTTTTGTAATGTCAATATAATGAAATATTACCTGCTTGGATGACTCTGCCAGTTTCTTAATACATCTTCTAAGAGCAGTAACTGTATTGCATGTCTGCTGCTCTTGCATGTGATCTGGTACCACTTGGGTGCCGCATGGCAAAGGAGGTTATTATTCACTGGGATCAAGTTGTAGGTTTCCCATTTTTCATTTAAAAAGAGTATTAGGGACATTACCTAATCATAAATGCATTTCTTAGGCTTTTGTGCAATGTTATGCATCAATAAAACATTGAAGAACCAAGATTCTTGTGTCTGGGCAGCCTTCATTGGTAAGTTGAAGTGTATGAGGAGCAGCAATGAAAAATCTGTGCAAGTGTGAGTTCCAGTTAGGTGTAGCATTCTGCAGGATGGTGGTACCTGTGGTCTTTAGCTTCTCCTGCATTGTTATTCAGCTTGTGAAGAAGAGCAGGAGAGGCGTGAATGCATTCCTGTGTTGATGGATATGTAGCTGGAGGTTACTTTCAATTTCCTCTCGAACAGTAGAAGATGGAATATTGGCTGCTCATCTCTGTTTAAGGTTCAGAAAAACAAGACTGTCCACATACCAAGTGAAGTAAGAGCTAACACACGTTATTTCCTTTTGCTAAACTAATGGAATGGTCCTTAAGTTAATATATTGATCCCTGTTGCTAAGCCAACCTTTATCAATTCTAAAGGAAAAGCATCCCTTGCAATTTTCTGTTGGCTTTTCTGCATGCAAGTGATGTCTGTTTAAAAAGTGAATAAGGCTAGTATGTACTGTTCTAGTAAATGTGATGAGTAAGTAGATTAGCTGTAAAATTTAATTCATGGGTGTTTGCATGCATTTGTTTCCTAGATTGTTTGATAGAGAAAGGAAGTATAAAAAGAGGCAAGTTGGTTTGGGAAACCTCCCTGCCCTTGCTGAGTGTTAACTTCTGAATTGGAGATGTGATTCTGTTGGCATTTCCTTGGTGGTAGTGCTGACACCGGCTGTTCTCAGCCTTAGCAATGCTTTCCTTCCCGTACACTGTCCTCTCCAGGTGATTTGGCATAATTTTAGGGGGATGGTATTAGGGAGGCAGCCTGTTATGATTAAGAAATTGGTTTGGCTGACCTTCCCCAGCCATCTCGTTCCCAGGTGATCAGCTAGAGTGGGAGAAGCGATCTAGTTCTGTGTTGGAGATCAGTTGTCTGGTGTGGGAGCAGAATGAAGGGAGGGTGTTGAAGCAGAGCAGGAGTGAGAGGTAACCAGAGTTGTGTATAACAGCTTTACCCTTGGGCTGTGAGTTTTGCAGGAACAGGACTTTGATTTATGTTCAGGCTTGCAGCCATTATCATTCTAAAGATAGCATCCAGAGTCTGACGGCTGTGGGATCGTATGCTGTGTTTTATGGGCAGCTTTTGTTCTTTGATGTTTTACAAAATGGCACCAATATTAGCTTAAACGTTTATGTAGTACAGCATATTTTAAACATTTGTGAAACAGTGTCGTCATGCCAGCTTTACCCAGAGGTTGCTAAATCTGGGGAAAGTGTGAAGAACTGGATTTGTGGGCACGTAGCTTGCTGACAGGAAAGATCTGGAAGAACAGTCATCGCTTTTGTGTTTTCTTTGGAAGCTGCCATGAAGCTGGAATAAAACTTAAGCATCAAAATCTGAGAGATGGATCTCAGTGTTGACTTCCTGGTAGGAATTTATGGCAAATTCCACTTCTGTGCTCCTTTTACTATATATATTTGTGCCATTTTGAAGGTTGATCGAAGTTGGGTAGATTCAGGGTTAAAGATCTGAGCAACCTGACTTCCAGAACTGCATTTTCTCTGGAATGGCATTGAAGCGGCCTGCGTTGCTGCTTCAGTTACGATGGCAAAAGTCTTTGAGGGACCCATGCAGAGAAAGAAATGGAGGCTGATGCAACTGGAAAAGAATCTGCTTGTGTTTTTGTTATTGTGCTGTTTTTGAAGAAAAACAGTTTCATGTGGAGTGTTGGTGGCGGTGAACTGGGAATGAGGACTTGTGTAAGCTGCTTATGCTGGCAGCTACTGGAAAGGAAGACCCAGCACAGCCTTTCTGTCAGCATGGTGAGCACAGAAGAGCTGTCCTCATCTCTCAGATCAGCAGCAGCTGGAGCGGGTTGCAGGGTGGCTCTGTCTGCGGTTGAGTTGCGCTGTTGAACCTGATTAGAAGAGGAAAAAAGAATCTTGTAGGGCTCAGTTATTCTATTGAATCAACCCAGATGATGTCACTTCTGGAGGGAAACATTGCTCCTCACATCAAGGCAGTGCAGCTGGAGTGCAGTGCTGCAGGTATTAAATTAGTCTTCTTTAATTGCTGTTATTTAGGAACTGACAGATAGGGATGTGTAATTCTGTCAGGAGTTACTTCAGTTTTCCATGTGAGTACAGTTACTTGGATGGTCAAAGACGTGAGCTAAATTCATAGACCGTAAAAACAACAACAAAAAACCACTGTCAGGAGGAGAATGCTGTGGCTCTGTGTTTTCTGGAGCAAGCTAGAATTGCTTCTGGAAGCTGTTGGGGTTCTCCTTGGCAGAAGCTCAGCCGGTGCAGAAGTGGTGCTGTGAGGCAGGGCCCTGGGGCAGGCTGGGAGCTGCCGTGCCTCTGTGTGGTCACCCCTGGGTGGCCTGCTGGTCACCTGGCCCGCACCAGAGGCCTTCCAGAGCCGTCCTGCTGGGGACATGGAGGTTAGTGCCTGGAGAGTTCTGTGCATCCTTCCTCAGGATGTCATCTGTTGTGTCTTAAACATCACTGTGTTGGGCCTGGGTGCTGCCTGTTACGGCATACTCTGACTTGCTTGTTGTCCTCCATGGAAGTACCCCAGCACCCACCCTCATTGGATGCTGTTGCTTTCCAAAACTCCTCTGTGATACAAAGAGAATGGAGAAATGTTACTTTCATTCTTCTGATGCCATAAAATCCCAGCCAACCTCCCTCATGCTTTGTCATGCCTTGACTTCTGGTCAAGAAGGCTGAGCATGGGCATGGTGTGCTAGTTCTGATAGAAGCTGTAAATACCTGGTAACAAATGCTGGTGTTTTGTAACTGATGAATAAGCTTTGGCTAAGGAAAATCTTTTATTTTGACTTTAAATTCCAATTTACATATGAGCTGTGCATCAAGCAGTTCTGTCTTAACAGCAGAAGTTCCATTAGTGAGGCTTTCTGGAATTCAGGCATTACGTAACTTCAGAACTTGCTCAGTTCTGTTTGCTGGAGTTCGTATCACTTAAATGAATTTCAAATCTGATTTTAAAAAGGCCCAACACCACCTCTGCACGGATTTTATAGACATGTTCCATAGCCTAGAATTGATTTTAAAAAAAGGGGAGTGAGTTTAAATACAGAACAGCAACAGAAGGAAAGTACATGTCTCGTAAACTATATATAGTAGTGCAGAACATTTAGTATGTGTGAGATGTGAGGTTTAAAACTTGTTAGGGATCATCCAGCTTGAGTGCTGTCTCTCTGGGCCTTGGCAACTCATTTATCACTTGTTTTAGATCACAGACGGAATACTGCATAATTGTCTGAAAAGATAGGGATGTGTTCAAAGAAAGCTGTGGAGCTGTGCATCAGTGAATTCTTGTTCATAGTTCTAACGCTGCATTGAAATTGACAGCTGGGCATGCATTACTACTGTGTGTTTTTTCAACTTAAGTTACTGTTTAGTTTAGGGTAATGGAGTTAATTGATGAGTATTCACAAATTGGACTTAATGATCTTGAGCTGGCTTGCATCTACGTGCACCACACTGAGCGGGTTTGGGAACGATTTTATAGTAGTAAGGCATGTGTATTTAAGCACAGTGTAATCTTTAGCAGTCTAGTGACAACTTCGGCAGATTCCTTGTAGCAGACTTCATTTTTTTTTTTTTTTTTTTTTCTCTTTGAAATGGTGTTAATGGCAAGTTTAAAAATGGAGCTGTGAAAATTTAGGCATTTTTATTGGTAGTCCCTTGTTTGACTTCTGTGGGTGCTGTGACAGTATTCAAATATGTCACCGAAATACTTTGTGCATGTTGTCCTTCTTGAGTATGTGAACCTTGAACCTGGAATCGCTTGCAGAGGACTGAATCAGAAGGAAGCAGTTTGTTGGCCTGGTTTTCTCTTTCCATGTCTCACCTCCTCTTCATTCTCTCTCCAGGTCAGAGCTCCGGATGCAGCACATAACACTGGGTCTGCTGATACACATGTAAGGCCAAATGTTTTTTTTTTTAAATGAAAGAGGGCTGCTCTCCAAAGAAAGCTGCTTATTGCAGGCAAACTCTGTTGCACAATCTGTAGGTGTTTGTAAATGGAATATGGATATTTGTATTAAAAAAAAAAAAAAATAATAAAATGTTCTTTGAAAGTTTTTAACAGCCAGGAGTGTAGGAAGGTCTACTGAAGGATGTTGCATTGTAACAGATGCATACAATTTTCACTGCTTCTTCGTGTTTAAATATGTTTCTTTTATACGCGAGCGTAGTTCCAAATGCTAGCTGGTTAATTTTTAAGTCAGTGTATGTTAAAGTGGACATTTTTATTGTATGCGGTTGGTTTCTCAGAAAAATGAGGGAAGAGGTGGCCCTATTTCAATCCTCTGTTTTTCTTTCTAATAGAAAATGCCTAACAGGTATGTAGTTGTCTGTCTTTGTTTCAATGTTACTTTGCTTCTGCACTGAAGATACCTTCTCCCAATCCTGCGGTTGGCACATTGCAGGAGGGCTTACCTGTTCCTGACCCAAAATGAAATACGCAGCAAGAGCCAAATAGCATAAGACAATTCATCTCTCATTTAGATATCTTTCTATATATATTCATAAATATATATATATATTTGCCATATGAAGAAGTCAAGTTTACTTGCTTGTATGAAAGCATTATTCAAGTTACGACAGCAGAAACTTCTGATGAAAAAATAGGATATTTTTCATGACTTGCTTTCCTTGATGCAATTTAGAAAATCATTCCTAAAACTCTTTTGAAAATGTTTTTACTGTCTGTGAAACTGGGATTTCAGTACTTCATGCCATCTTATGCAGTGTTATGTTCAGTGGGAATCTACTTTCATGCAGTGATTTGGCTAGTTAACTTGAAGTTTTTGCTTTGCTTCCATCATTTGCTTTACTCCTCTCGTTGTGTCATTTCCATTCAGTAAAGGAAGAAGGTCTTCAAGCTTTATGCTATTGTGCTGTTAGTAATTTTGTGAAGCTGCATATGGTTAATGCTATAACTGCCTCCTGGAATGTGAATCACAGGATTAAATGAGTTCACTCCTGTTAATTTGATGTTGCTCCTGCCACATGGAGCACTGTTTTTCTCTGAGATCATTTCTAAAGAGAGGAGGTCTTAGTGCCAGACCTCTGGTTGTCCTACAGCTGCTTCCATTATGTGACTAGAACACAGGCTCTGTGCTGTGAGACATGACTTGTGGATGGCAGGATAAGCCTTGAGTAGGAGTGCAGTGTTTGTATTTGTGGGCATTGCTGTGCCACAGCAGCGTGCCAAGGTTCTGTATTGCTTGTCATACTGAAATATGAGCTGTCATTCAGACAGCAGGAAAATGTGATTTTATTCACTTAGAAGACATGTAGATGGGTGAAAACCTGCTGATGAACAAATCACAGGGGCTCATGTTGACAAACACAGCGTCATAAAGCAGATGACTCCACAGACAACACTGCATTAATTTGTAATGGGTCATTTCCCATTTAATTAGGAACTAGGAAATGCTTTTAAAAGAAATAAAAAAAAACCTTTCTGGTCGAATGCTCGGTACAAATCTAAGAAGTTTCTGAGTTACTAAAGAAGGATTATAAGCTGGTTGTATCTCTAACAGTTGTTCAGCTTTTTGTTCTTGTATTAGGTAAAGAGATGTTGAACAGCAAGCTGATACCAGAAATGAACGTTCTTATACAGGAAATTATTCCTAGAGGAAATCTTGTTGTTGGCATTTGATTTTTTTTTATAATAATATCATAGAGAAGTTGCACACCTTATTTGTCTTGATCTTTTATTGAACTTTTTTTTTTTAAACAGTTAATCACTGTCAGCTATGTCAGAGCATGAAAAAAGTCTTTTCAAGACAAAGGCTAATGGATTATCTTCTGCTCTTTTAGAATATTATTCTTGTTCTTAGGCTGGTTCTGTATGAGCTACTGTGTTAAACTAGGAATTTTCAGGACTTTCTTTTCTTTTCTTTTTCTCTCCTTTCCTTCCCATTTCTCATGTCTTCTGAACATGGTTGTCGTCCTGTTGTCCTTGCTCTCTCGATGCTTTACAGGAAGCACCCATCAAATTGTTTGAGATGTCTTTGAACGATGTTTTAGGAGTTTCCTAATTAAAACAGTGACCATTCATTTTTCTGAAACACAGATTTAACTTGTTTTATTGTATTAGATAGCTCAGAGAGAAGTGCAGGAAGCCTTTTGTTTTATTTTCTGAACATATAAACCAGTTGCCACCTGTAGTTCACTTAGGAACTTTCTGGTTTTGGCCAAACAGAGTAGCATTATTTCAATTGTTTTGCAAACATTCTATTATTTTTCATACTCCTTTTGCAGCCTTTAATGGAAAGTAAACTTAAAGCATTCAGCATTGGCAAAATGAGTGCTGCCAAACGGACTTTGAGCAAGAAGGAACAAGAAGAATTAAAAAAGAAGGTAATTACATACAACAAAATGTTGGTATGTATGCAGGGCTGGAATTAGTTTGTTACATTATAAATAGCTTCATCAAGACCTTTGTTTTGATTTATAAAACTGTAGCTATATAGGAATGAAATTGAATTATATTTTACATGTTTAGTTTGTTCTTGCTGTATGTGGTGTTTGGAGGCTTGCTTCTCTGCTTATCTAAGTGAGCACTCAAGTTCTTTGGCATCCTGAAATGCTGAATTACAGCAATCCATTGGTTATTGTGCTTTTTAAAATGAAGACAGATATCACCTTAGGTTATTTTCTGTTTGCTCTCTAACCTTAGATTTCAGCAGAGTATTTGTTGTCTCTGAAATTGTTCCAATATACATCCTTGTTACTGTCCAAAGTGTATTTTTGTCTGATGAGTTAGTATCTAACTTTAATCATTTTGATCATTAATAAACTGAATTTTGGGATGCTCAGGAGCATCTGAATGTTGGGAAATATGTAGCAGATAGTTGCTGAAGTGGAAGTTTAGAACTTTTGGACTTTGAACATTACAAACTCAACTCCTACTGTACTGCAGTGGGATTTTTCTTGCTAGGTTCCTGAAAATGCTAGCATAGAGAAGCATATAATGGTGTTTCATTTAGCTTATCTTACTCAACCTTACTGAAGAGTTGAAATAACTTTTCTGGGGAATGTATGCAGGTGATCCTGGTGTTTGTCTCCTGCAGTTAGATGAATCGGTGATAACAGATAAGCGTCAGAGAGCAGCACATATTCTTGTGTTAACAAAGCTTCAGTCTCACTGTGTTGGCTTTTCGTACAGTCTTTTCGATTTAACCTTTCAAATGTTAAATTGCCAAATGAACCCAAACCAATCTTATTTGCTTTGAGTACTGCTTGCTGTGTTCTTCCCACTTATCTCAGCAATTTGATTTTTTTTTTTTTGGTCTGAAATTGAAGTGCATTTGATAGAGTTCATAGTATGAACTCTAGGAAATAAAAAGGGATGTAATATAGCTAATTTAAGAATAGCTATCTAGTGGGGGTTGTTCTGTGGTGATAGTAATGATTAACATTTGCTTTGTAGGAGGATGAGAAGGCTGCTGCAGAAATTTATGAAGAATTCCTTGCTGCGTTTGAGGGAAGCGATGGCAATAAAGTGAAAACATTTGTAAGAGGAGGAATTGTTAATGCATCTAAAGGTATAGCTAATCTTTTTTTGGGTGGTAGTGGTAGATTGTTCATCTTAGACTAAAGATGAAGATTGGCTTTGAATTGCATTTTAAAATGGATACGTTGCATTATAAACAGTCATGGAAATTTGATGCTAAAATTTACTTTTTACTTTAACTCACAAAATAGTTAAGACAGATGATTTGTCCTTTCAAGTTTCAGGGAAATTTTCTGATCTTTGCTCTTCTTATTAAAAGATGATTTTAATCACCAAAAGTGTTCGTCCTGGTGCAGTGCTAACATAGTTTGTTTTTCATTTGCTTTTGGTTTCAGAGGAACATGAAACCGATGAAAAACGGGGTAAAATCTATAAACCTTCATCACGATTTTCAGATCAAAAAAACCAACCAAGTCAACCATCTAATGAGAAGCCTCCATCCCTCTTAATGATAGAAACCAAAAAGCCTGTAAGTTTCTTATTTGAATGCTAACTCTTTGTTCAAGGGTTTGTTTTGAAGTGCTTAGAAAAAGTCTGTGTGGTCTTGCAGTGTAGTGTTTCCATTTATCACACAGTAAAAGAAGGTGGGAACATGTTTGATTTGCTTAATTCTTAGAAAATAACAAGAAGATAAAATGCAGATATCTGATAGACCTGTATCCAGTGCCACGTACTTGATGCTGCACTTTGTCTCCAGCATTTTTCACTTTTTCTCCAGCATTAAAAACATATCCAGTATGTTTTTACTGTATTCCTGTTGGTTACGAATACAGATCTGGTGATTGCTTTAAAGTAACAATCTCCAGTCTGGGGGATTTGTGAAGTTTTAGAAGCAATTCTTCTTGTTACCATTTGTTGTTACTCTTTTGTACCTTTAAAAACGACAACAACAACAAAAAACCCACCAAACAAAAAAATCCAAAAACTAACAAACAAAAAATAATCCACCCCAAAACCAAGAGATGGAACCCACACAAACCAATCAAATGAGACAACACCTTTGCATTGATCCAAATTCTTCTTGAGTCATGTTTTTTAAAAACAATTGTTCTGGGTGGTAATATTAGACCGGTTCCCTTCAGCTCTTTAAGTTCTACCAAATGAGTAAGTTTTAGAACTTGAGAGTTTCTGAAACTGAACAGCATGGTTTTCATTTAATTTAGTTTGACCATTGCATGGTTGGGTGCATTTTCTGGTTCTGAAACTCAGGTTTTTGATATAAAAATTACTGGAATTTTTGTGAACAGGCTTAGTTATCAAGTCAGGTGATAGTTACATATGACTACTGTATATGTGTAATGTGTAATTGATGTCTTGGAAGTCTTTAAAAGTGCTACTACAATTCTTAAACTTAGATTAAAACAATGTGATACTGCCTACTAGGATGGGAAATGAGATAGAATGTGGTAATTGTGAGTAATCCCATCCTAGCTTTCCTCCAGCTTTAAGCAAACCTCAAATCTCAAATAGTGGGGTGATGCTGGATGGCAGTTCTGATTTTCATCATATGTAAAGCTCTACAGTACCTGGATTTAATTGTTTTTTTTTAATCACTCTGAGCTCTGTTGTCGTATGCAAGTATTTGTACTGTAAGAATATTGCTGCTTTTCAAATTTGTCATAAATACTTAGCAGATAATGCAATCAGTTTACTCACTTGCCCTGTCCAATGGTGATTGAAGATAATGAGGTAAAAATGATTTTATTTATTTGGCAGACACTCCCCAAAAACAAACAAAAACAAACAACTTTGCCTGGGGTGAGTAGGAAGTCCAGTTTTTCCAAAGCTGTAGTGTGTAACACCAATATTTTGTATGTCTGCCTATTGGAAACGTTTTCATTTAAATTCGGTTATAAAAGCGATGTTGTAGAAGAATTCACAGGAGTTAGTTAAGGTGCATATAGTGCAGTTAAGAAGAAAATCCATTTTCTTTGTCATTCAGTTGTTTTTCTGAGGATCTTTGACTATTTACAGTAACTCTTCAGACTTGCATTTATATCTGAAAGGAAGTATAGATGGAAATTCTTTTCATGTAGAATGTTTGCCTGTGGATAAAATATTTGGATATACATATATACACATGTAAATTATTACTGTATATTTGTGTGTATATATGTGTGTGTATTCTTAAAAAGAAAAAGTACACATGTGTCAATTTAGTTGGAGCATGAAGGTTTGCTAAGGGAGTTATCAGTTTTGTCATAAGCTTTAAAGTGGACCAAACTGACAAAACACACCACAGGTATTTTAAATTTGTGTGTTGTAGAGAAAGTGTTGGATCACGTATGCTGTGCTGTAGTAGTCAGAAGTAGAAAAGTTTAGTTCAAGCTATCCTTAATTTTACATTTGGTAGCTGTGTTTGGTAGCAGTCATTTTTAATGTTTTCAAGTCTGTTTTCTTTTATTTTCTTCTGTAGTTTACTTGGTTTGAAAGCTGAGGGTAAAATGCATGGAAATTATCTAAAATTTTTTACATAAATACCATTTCCATTTTTTTTTGTCATTGTACCTGCTCAAATGTTGGCTGATATATCTTTAATTTTAGCCTTTGAAGAAAGGAGAGAAGGAAAAGAAAAAGAGCAATCTGGAACTTTTTAAAGAAGAACTAAAGCAGTAAGTTTCCTTGGTTGTTTCTGTGAACAAGACACACAGAGTATGTCTACTTTGTTTCTACAGGCAGTGTTTTTGATCTTTCTTGTTAAGCTTTTCCCTAAAGTCTCTCTCCACTCCAAGCCTCTCCTGTTAGCCTTGGCAGTCATACTTGTAAATGGAGCGTGAAGTTTTGCTGGTAGATGGTTGGTACAAGCCCATGTGATTTGTGTGGGTAATCCCATCTAATTAGTATTCTGGTGTCCTTGATGCTTCTGCCTTTCTCTGTGCTGATTGGTACTAAGAAGAGTTTACCACTACTGCTGAAGAGTATTTCTGTTCTGGAATCACAGACTTTAAAAATGATCTATGAGCAAGCACTGAAGTATGCTGGTCAAAATGAGTGGATTTCCTTCCATGCCAGCAGTGTTTGTCTGACCTTTGAGGTTTTGTACTGCTTTCCTAAGCAGAAAAATATCCAGAGCAGTTAAAGATTAAAAACAAAAACAAAACAAAACAAAAACCAACAAAACAAGCAAACAACAAAAAATCATCATATATCTGAGATCAGAATAAATGAATTACTGTTATGTTTCTAGAGCTACTTTAAGATGATTTTTGGTTTAGTTAATGTGAATGTCAGTTTCAAGAGTTAATCGCATGACACCCCTCCCTCCTCTTGGGAGAAGAGTTGAGAAGGAAGAGGAAGAAACCTGAGAGAGATGGGAGAAAATAATTTATTAAAATGAATGTGAGCTAATACAGAATAATTAAGAATAATGAAGAAAATGAACCGAAAATTAAATCAGAAGACAGAGAAATACCAAATAGTTACTTGTGTGAGGGCTTTCATCAGAGATATAAACAGAGAGAGGGTCTTGTATGTACTGGGAATGTTTGGATGTCACCCTTAACAGCTCATGTGAGTAATGACTGCAAAAAGTAGGAGAAGAAAGATGCTCAGAAGTTGTGTGCATCTTGAAAAGATAATGGATCTTTGTCCAATGTGGAATTCAGGTCAATCTGTCAGAGCACAGCTTTTATTTCTACTCTTGCAAACAGCTTCTCAAACTTTTTTTTTTTTTTGAGCTAAAAATACCTTGACAGTATGAATGAGGAAGCATGCAGCTGGAATTATTCTGGTGGCTACATTCCACCTGATTCAGCAAAAAAAATGAAAGCATACTGGCAATTCCAAATTTTTAACAAGTCCATTGTTCAATAAACATTAAACATTCTCCTATTTCAAAAAAAGATAGTTTAAAATGAAAACATTGGACTGTTGAAGTTGTTACTTACATTCAACTTGTTCTGTAGGATACAAGAAGAGCGTGATGAAAGACATAAAACAAAAGGTAGATTGAGTCGTTTTGAACCTCCCCAGTCGGATTCAGATGGTCAGCGTCGTTCAAGTGAGTAGTCTGTGTTGCCTTTGTGTTTGCTGGGTGTACAAAACTTCTTGACTAAAATACGTGTTTCTTGTTTATTTATTCAGTGGATGCTCCTTCAAGAAGAAACAGATCATCTGGTGGTAATACAGATTCTTTTCTCATTCAATGTAATGTCACTTAAATGCATAGTAAGGGTTGTGACTTTTGTTATTTTCTTCTCCGTTTCTGTAGTACTGGATGATTATGCACCAGGGTCACATGATGTTGGGGATCCAAGCACAACAAATTTGTACCTGGGAAACATTAATCCTCAAGTAAGTTTGGAGCCATCCTGTGAAGTGCAGCATTAGCATGTTTGTGTCCAGCTGAAATTGTGACAGTAGCTTTTTTTCAGTAGCATATTTTAAAATACATTTTTAAAAATGTAAGGTACAGTTAGCAATTGTAGAGGCAGTATTCGTTTGAATATAGATGTGCTGTATATGTGTATGTTAAAATATCAGTTACTAGATTTAAAAATGCTGAACAGAAATGATTTTTCTGTGAATATTTCCTTCTGAGAAGAATTATCTGAGAAATTTGATTGTACTTAATTTAGAATTCAGTCTCCTTATTATTAATATTTTATAGCAGATTTAATTGGTGAGGAATGGAGTAAGTGTTCTCCATGAAATCAAAATATCCGCATTTGCACAGAAATATGAACAAATATCTTAGAAATACCACTGCGAGAGGCTAATTTTTACTTTTATTTCATTTAGATGAATGAAGAGATGTTATGTCAAGAATTTGGACGCTTTGGACCACTAGCGAGTGTTAAAATTATGTGGCCAAGAACTGATGAAGAAAGAGCAAGAGAAAGAAATTGTGGCTTTGTTGCATTTATGAACAGGAGAGATGCTGAAAGAGCTTTAAAGAACTTAAATGGTAAACAGGTTTTTCAGTTAGGGGTCATAATTATTTTTTTAGGAACACTTTGTGGTACATTTTGCGAATAAATGTGACTAGTGTGCAGGACATAATTCTTAGTAACTGATGATAATTAGGTCCTTTTCTTTTGAGTAGTATCTGGATTTCTAATACTTAAGAGGTAACTAGTACAACAGACGTGCTTTTTGTGTATGGACTATTTTGTCTGTCTTCAGTGGGGTGAGAGGGGAAGGGGAAAAAATATCTTAAGCGTTAAGGAAAGCTGTGCCTTCATAGGTCAGGAAGAGCCAAAAATCAGAAACCTATATCCTGGACAAAAATAATAGAAAATGAAAGGATCTTGTTCTCTGCTTATGCAAAATGGTATTCTTCCATGACCATTGCTAAGTAAATTACAGTATGTAGGAGTTGTTATGGCTTATTAAATTTGTTTTTGGATAACATCATTTTAAATTTGTTACTATGAGAGAAAAAAGAAAAACATTTTGAACAATTACAGTACAACAATGATATAACTTAAAAATTGCTCTGTTCGTTGATCAGTGTTGAATCAAGTTTTTTTTTCAATATTTTTGCACAGCAGTTCAAGTAATTGTGTACTGTGGTCTCCTAAACATGTACATAAGGGAGGATTAATAAAATGTTTCATGTAATGGGCTTTCAATTGTGTAAGATACAGCTTGGTAAATATGGTAAGTTAACAACTTAAGCGGAAATTAAACCATGGCAGGGAAACCTAACTGTTGCACTTACACAGGAGAATCTGGTCCAATGCAGAATCAGTTTGTGACAACTGTGTTCTTACCTTTTTCAGGCAAGATGATTATGTCCTTTGAAATGAAGCTAGGCTGGGGCAAAGCTGTGCCTATCCCACCACACCCAATATACATTCCACCTTCAATGATGGAGCATACCCTCCCACCTCCTCCGTCAGGTCTGCCTTTTAATGCCCAGCCTAGGGAGAGGTTGAAGAATCCCAATGCTCCAATGTTACCCCCACCAAAAAACAAGGAAGATTTTGAGAAGGTAACTTATGGAACCCTGGGCCATATCTCATTGTTAAACACTACATCTATGAGAGTATTTCAGTGGCTTCATAGATTTGTATTGTTCAGGCTGACTTTGGCAGCCCTCAGTGTACAAACTCGTTGGCTCCCTGCTGTAGCCCAAGGGAACCTAACTAATTCCTGAAGTGATGTCTCCTGTCTTAGGGTACAGTGTATTGGGTGGTCTTGACTTAATTTTAGCACTGCTTTAAATCTAGCTATCATTTTCCCCCTCCTGGCTCCCTGGATATTTTTCTCCTACGTCCCCTTTTCCCCCCCTTTTGTTGGCTGCCAAATTACAGTATCTAAATTATTTTCTTTAGACAAAATACTATGTTTTAATTTGAGTAGTGTTATTTTTACTCTAGAGGAATTGATATATTGTATGTAGAAGGTAATTTATCTGGACATTGAGTAAGTATTTAATGCTACTTATGGAGTCAGCTTTCAAACTTTTTTTCTGGAATATTAGCTGATAAAAATGAGGGGTAAGTATCGTGTAATCACAAACTTTGATTTACATTTGTAAGAATTTGTTGATTCTTTGAATGACACTTAAATGTTAGGGTTGTTTTTTCTAAGACTTGGAAATAAAGTAATACCAACCTGAACCAAGTCAAATCATTTAGAATCGTTTCATAAACTTAAGAACTCTTCTCTTAATTATTATATTCAGTGTAGAAGCTATTCAGTGCATCAATGTACATTCTGACAGGAATGTTCTGATACTTTGCAATTAGTGAACCTTTACGGTTCACTGTCACAACCATTTGCATTTTGTGTAATTGCTTATCTATAACTTCACAGCAGTGATTGCCTGCAAAACTTGTGATAGATGTGTAGTATTTTCATTGCATATGTATATTTTTGCTTGTTACTTGTTAACAATACTCACATATTCTATGTTTATTATCTGATGTGACTTCATATACAGACTCTGTCGCAAGCCATAGTCAAAGTGGTTATCCCAACAGAAAGGTACATGTTTTTCTTTATTATTACTGATCTAAATATAGAAAATTTCCCCTTCGGAATTTTAAAGAAAAATTGTGATGTTGAGGAAAAGGTAACAGCTTGACTGAGCAATGGTTCTTTCATAACACTTCAGAGAGATGAATGTGTTTTATGATCTTATTATCCTCAATAACTTTTTTTTTTTTAGTGAGGTTAGATTGAAGTAATTATCTTTTGCATTGTATTTGAGCAATTTCAGTTAGAAATCGTTGGAGGATAATTTTGTGAGTGAACACTAGGGAGAAATAGGTTATTTTAGTGATGCTTTGTGAGTCCCAAAATAACCTCTAAAGTACTTGATGGCTAGGATGCAGCTGTCTTCAACATGGTGCTGTCATTTTTTCCCTTTTTTTTTTTTTTTTTTTTTCTTGTACAATTTGTAACTAATTCAGTTAGCAATAGGCTTTAATTTCTACTGTTTTTAAAATGTACAGCAGCCAATAATTATGGTTAGTTCCATAGTGCAAGCGTATTTTTGCATTTTGTTCTCTGTCAGTTCCTCTACATTCACTCCAGTCTAGGTATACTCTTGCTCAGTTAAGCTAAAACCTTTTCCCAAACATAGGAACACAACACTGTTTTAAAAGTAAATAAGCACGAAAGATTACCAAATTCTCTTTGACATTGGCCTTGGTGAGCAACACCAGCTGAACTGTCTGCGGCAGCGGGGGACCAGGAAAACATCATGGGATGGATTGGGAAAGTATACAGTTTTTGACCAGACATTGGTACGATCGGCTCCAATAAATGTGGTTTTATTATAACTGAAAAATTTTTTTTTGTTGGCCAACTTAAGCTAAATGACATCTTAAATGCACTTAAAACTATCAACTTTTTGTACAACACTGTTTTAATTGTCACCAAGTCCCTTTTTTTTTTTTTTGCGTGTGCGTGGGGGGAAGAAAGATCTGTAAAGCTAGTTACAGTAGCTTATGAACGTATCACTAAATGCTCAAGTGCATTTTGACTAGAAAACTTTCTATTTAACTTCAGGATGGTACGATTTTTGTTAGGTGGAGGCATGAATAATTAGAGTGACCAGGAGGAATCTTAATTTGAAAAATGTACTGAAGAATAAGTACTCATGTAACTGTTCAGTTCTTCATAATAATTAGCTTTCTGAGAGAAGTATGGATCCGTGTTATTTATTGTAGCGTTCTGAAAGCTCGTTGGTTAGAAAAGCTCATGTTAATTGAATTGCATTTGAAAACACATTACATTCATTTTCCTTGGTTTGATATCTGAAGGTGATAATGACGAATGTTACAAAGACTATTGCATGGTGTATTGCATTATGTATAAATTCTGACAAACTTCAGTGGGATACTGCGCTCAATTTCTCCTTGGCAGATTTTCAACACCGATTTTTAACATCTGTTATGTCTTGACAGTTACTAAAAGGCAAACATTACATACATACAGTCATTTTTTTTTTTCTGAGAAATGCCTTATATGCCAGAATGCACATTAACACTTGCTGTTCAGCTGTGGGATGCATTGAGTCTTTTCATACATTGGAGGACTTTCTGAACCAGATGTACTTGTCCAACCATAAGCTGCTCTTAAGCAATTTTATTGTGCTTGATAAATGAACAATTAGATGAAATCCAGTGGCGCAGTTCTGTAGCAAGCCGGAATTGATCATGTTGAACTTGCCTTACAATAAACAAATGCTGCAATAGCTCAGAGATGTAAAAGAGCATTGTAATTTTTTTCCTATTTGTGTTTTCAAATACAGTTCATATAACAAGAACAGTTTTGCTGTTTACACTTTCAGAACACTGCTTTAAATAAAATGGCCAAATAACTGCTGATACTGTCCTCTTTGCAGTGTTTAGGATATTGTAAAAAGAAAAAGTGTAGGAAGTTGAGCTATATGTATCAGTTTGGTTTTTGTGTCTGATATGAGAGGAAGAGAGAGATTAATGCTAACTGGCGTAAAACATTTGCCAAGGTTGCAGATGGATAGACAGGTTTTTTGTTATCATATTTTAGTATATTTTTTTATTTTTTATCTAATGCATTTTATCTGTGACAGATTTTTAATTAGACATGGTGGAAAATAATCACCTAATTACCAGGAACTGATATAAAATTATTCAGCTTTTCAATGTAGCTATTTTGAATTTGGATAATGAAAATTTGCTATAGGAAGTTTTAGTTTAAAAGACCCATGTCAGTTTGTTACATCTGAGAAAACTAATTTAAAAATGTAAAAATCTGTATTTTTTTTTTTTTGTTTGCATCACATTCAGAAGGCACGTGCTGTGAAGTTTTTGATATATGTAGGTAATCTGTATTTGAAAAATTAGGAACTAGTTTCTGGGAAAAAAAATCCACAGAACCAAAGGGTTGGAAACTGAAATAACTATTATCTATAAAGCTTATATAACACTACATATATACATTATATAAGCCATTAGCACATTTATAAGTGAATTCACATTTTCAAATGCTACTTCAAAAACATGCAGTTAATTCAGATATGCTTCTTGCTTGTCTCAGGAAGTAGTGCTGAATAAAATGAATACAGATTTTTATGTTTTTTTAAATTGTGATTTGATTCTCTTGAGCATGTTAGGAAGGAAACACTGAGTGGTATGACATAGAATGATGAACAGTTTTGTTCAGCATCTCATCCTTGAGTCTTGACCAAAAGGAGGTTACCCAAATTGAATGGAAGCACTGCTCTGTTTGGCATCAAGAAGGCTATTTGCTTTTCCATTTGTTCTTGAATAGTTTGAAAGCTGAATGCAGTTTCTATTGAGTATTCAAAATCATTTGCATTTAATTTTGAACACAGTATTCAGCCATTTGTACGTTTGTAGAACTGCAGTTAACACTTGGGTCTTAGTACTAGAGATAGTAGGTGAGGGCTAAAATTTTTAAGAGTTAGTTGCTCTTTGGTGCTCAGTTGCCTGTTTTATACATAAGGACTATTGAGCTTCTCCTAAGCAGGAGATGGTTGTAGGCTGAGCTGTGGAAATTCAGCGATGAGGTTTCCTTCTAAGTTGTTACTCAAGCGTTCTTAGGCATGTTTTTATTTTAGAGTGCCAGTGTCTGTGATGCAAGACTATTATTCGTTCAATGTTACCTTATTTTCTGTACAGTCCATAACAACACAGCAAAATAATCTTCTGCACAGTTATAGTATCTTAGATGGAGTGTAGCTTTATATAGTGTTAGGTCTGAATCAATTTTTCTTTAACTGTGTTGTTGTTGTAGGAATTTGCTCGCACTGATACATCGAATGATAGAGTTTGTGGTACGGGAAGGGCCCATGTTTGAAGCCATGATCATGAACCGAGAAATCAACAACCCAATGTTCAGGTGCTTACTACATTGCTTTGGTTTGAAATTGTGTTGACTATTTTTGCTGTAGCTGGTTGTTTTGCATTTCTGCAGTGCTAATAGGAGTTGGTTTGACCATGTCTACTTTTGTGTGCAGTTGTTAAATTTCAAAAAACTGTACTTCTCGAGCTAATGCTTATGCTGTTATTTTATGAAGCATATAGTTTTAATTCTGATGTATAAAAATATTCTGTATATACAGTATGAGTTATTTGCACAAATATTAAAAAATTAATTTTGAATTATCTGAGAAATTCAGCATCGTCTGTGGAAGCAGTAGAATACATTTATAAAAGCAGTAGAATACATTTAAAAAAGAAGCAAACTAAATAAAATAAAATCTCTTCAAAAGCAAACAAAGTAACTCATTGGAAACACATCTTCCCTGATTTCTAGAGCCTAATTTCTAACCCGTAGAAAGAATTGGGAATCAAATCATTTCATTTGATGTCAGTACAGTTAGGATTAAACTTGATCTGGCATAGTGAAGTTGTGAGAACTTCCTGCTGTTGCTAATGAAATTTGAGGTATATTTCTAAAATTCTTTTGAAATGCAATCAGAAAAATTTAATTTATGGAAATACTAAGAGGCCTATTAAAAATGGTTTATTTGTGGTAATTTTGAAGTGTTTGTTTTGAATTGACGTACAAATGGAGGAAAATATGCAGGCCAAAGTAAAAGATCTGGCCATTTAAAAACACTGTGAATTTTTGCCTGATCTTGTCAGAGTGTTCTGACAGCTTATGGGTGGAAGACTTCAAGTCGTTCAGTATGCAGTCTGAGCAACCTGACTGTATGGCTGTGAGTTCCTCAGCTTGTGCCAAGGCTGCAGCAGCTCCAGCAGTGATTGTGCGGTTGAGTGGGATTGTGAACAGGGATTGGATATATTTGTGATGGCTTCCTTCAAATTATCTTCAGATAATTAACCTCCAGTGTGTTGTGTGTGTCTCTCTTCTCTGGTTTAGGTTTCTGTTTGAAAACCAGACTCCAGCCCATGTGTATTATAGATGGAAGCTTTATTCAATTCTTCAGGTAAGTAAAGTTTTTAGTGTCGGTTTGTAACCTTGAGAATTATGAAGTAAACTTAAACAAATCAAAGCCAAATCAAAAACTTGTTCTTTACAGGGAGATGCTCCAACCAAGTGGAGGACAGAAGATTTCCGTATGTTCAAAAATGGATCGTTTTGGAGACCACCACCACTAAATCCATATTTACATGGGATGTCAGAAGAGCAAGAAACAGAGGCATTTGTGGAGGAACCAAACAAGAAGGGTGCACTTAAGGAGGAGTATGAACTCTCATTCACTATTTTTCATATTAGTGCCTTTTTGATGATACTTAGTGCTAAGTACAGTCTGGATTTTGTTAGGTTTGTCTTCAATGAACCACGAGTTCTTTCAGTGGAATGGATGTTAAGCCTTTGCATGAAGGGGATGGGAAGTATGAGAAGAGTTTTTCCATGTTTTCTGGAAAACTTGGAAACATTCATCTCTAAATGAAATTACAGAGCACTGATCTCAGCATTTTAGGAACTGGATGAACTTAACAGTTATTATAATCTTAAATGTATTGATGTTGTTATTCTGAAATTAAAATAGAGAGCAGTTACTAATTAGCAGCAAGGGAGAGACTGTCAGAGTTCTTTGCGGTGTATCTTAAGTGTGATGGGGATGGCTGTAGTACTGGAAATACTTACATGATTTCTTAAATTTTGCTGTCATCCATAGCCTCATTTTGTCCTTTTCATCATAACTATGATGCAAGTTGTGGTTCTGAAGTCTTAAGTAATACTTAAGTAATAATTAAAACTTCAGAACCACAACTTGTATCGTAATGCACATTCCTACATATGTATTACATATTAAGTAATTCACATTCCCTTTTTGAAAGGTTAAAAGGATGTTCTTTTAAAAGTTATTTCTTTGTATTTTATTGACTTCTTCCAGGAAAACCTGAAAGAATTGCTTTCTGCTAGCTTTCTGTATCTGATGATTCCAATTCCATGTTAGAAATTGCTTACGTGGCTTCCATTTATCTGTTTTTCATTCAGGCTTAAATGTTCAAATTGATTATAACATGTTTATTCTGCATTAGCTGTTTGGCAGCTATTTTTTCTTCATTTCTATTCATAGTCAATACTCAAATAGTGAATTTTTTGTGTATTATTCATTTATATGATGAACTTGGACTTACCGATGCATGTTATGAGTCATTGAAAAAAAGCTCAGGAGTAGAATTGGAAAGTGTTTTGAATTTCTTTAGTCCTGAAAACAGCAGAAGCAAAGACATTATGAAATAGCACTGTTTGGGGAATTTCTAACTTTACATTGAAAGTATTATAATCCTCCTATTTCAGACAGAGAGACAAGCTAGAGGAGATTTTGCGTGGATTAACGCCTCGAAAGAATGATATTGGCGATGCTATGGTTTTCTGTCTAAATAATGCAGAAGCTGCTGAAGAAATTGTAGACTGCATTACAGAGTCGCTGTCAATTCTGAAGACTCCTCTTCCCAAGAAGGTGTGGAGATTTTCTGTAATCATACTTCTGTTTTTTGGGGAAGAGCTCAATTAACAAACAGTGTGCGTGTGTAATTTTCGAGCACTGTTTTGTAAGTCTTAGTGTTAAGACTTCATATTAAGACCAGACCTTGAATTCAAGTATCGTTTGTTGTATTTTTGTAACACACTATACTCCTTGCTGAAATTGCTTATGAATAATGTTTTGCCTTGCTCTGAAATTGAAAACTGCAGAGCAATCCATTCAAAAATAAGAAATAGTAACTGGAATGCTGCAGTCTGGCTTTACAATGTGGCTAGCAGCCTATGGCATAACAGGGGGCTAATAGCATCTTAGTATGTATATTAGCAACATGTCTGCATTATTAATTATTAATTCTAATTTCATACTTCTAGATGGTTTAGACCATCTTGTATCATATCTGGAAAATGCATATATTTTCAGGATAATTAAGCTCTAATGTTATCTTAATTTGAGCATTCTTTTTTGTAGATAGCAAGATTATATCTGGTGTCAGATGTGTTGTACAACTCTTCAGCTAAAGTTGCCAATGCTTCCTACTATAGAAAATTGTAAGTACAATATTTTAGATGATTCCTGATTAAAAAGGAGTTGAGTTCAGTGTTGTGCATCTCTGGATAAATGTGGTAGTAGAGGAATTCACAAGTGTCTCTGATGATCCCATTGCGACACTGGTAGTTCTTGCATGTTTTTACCTGAAACTGTGTAAGGTGCAGCACGTTAATGCAGAGGATGTTTTGTAAAACAAATGAAAAAACCCAAAAGGTCTTGTATGTGCTCTATGCAAGCAGTGGCTTGCTTGGAACCTTGAGGATGAGCATATGTGCATATTTTTCTATATAGAGGCTGTACATAATATTCCAGGTATGGGATAGTAAGGCATATTTGCAAAGGAATGAGTTTTTTAAATAGAGTTTATAATTTAAGAAGTAATTTTTTAATTTGTGTTTTTTCTTCCTCACTTCTTCACCAAGTTTTGAGACCTTACAAGGGACTTATGCACTTTGTTTCTATGATGCTGAGCAGAATTTACCAAAAATGTACAAGGGAAAGAAGCTTTGCTCTATACAGATAAATGATTGCGTTTGTTGACTAGAGTATCATTAATGTGTTATTACAGCATGATGGGGAATATTCAACATGTTGTGAAAGTGTAGTGATTGCAAATCACATTTCTTGTCTTTGCTTTGCTAGTTTATTTTTTGCATGTTAAGGGAAACTCAAAGAGAAGCAAAGCAGCTGTTACTCATTGCTTTCATTGAGGGCCTTTCATTGAGAGAAGAGAAACAACTAAGAATTTTTAAAAAATAATTTTTGAGAATACTTTGATTCTGTGTAGGATTGTAAAACACCACCTTTTATTCTCATTCAGTTTTTCAGGCTATATAAAAAGACTGCAGCAGATGTGAAGATCTCCCTTCATAGATCTGTTGTTGTCAAAGCTGATTTAATATGTAGTAACCATATTTACCTTGTAATTCAGTTTAAACCAAATATAGGGATTGGAATCTTGTGCTTTTGAATCCTGTGTCCCAGGTACTTTCAAGACTTATGTATGTCCAGAAAAGATATATTACAAAGTTTAACTAAAGAAATGTATATGTTTAATTCTAGTTTTGAAACAAAATTATGTCAGATATTCTCTGATCTCAATGCTACTTACCGTACAATACAAGGCCATTTACAGTCTGAAAATTTCAAGGTATGTATTTAATTGTTATTTATATGACATAGAAGTCAAATACACAGATGTTCCTGCACAAGCCATTGAATACTAGGATGGGTGGCTTAAACTTCAAGCTTCTTAATTAAGCTTTACTGAAAGAAAAATGTTTCTTGCAGAAATAGCCTTGAAATTAACTTTGGTCTTTCTGAAATTACTGGAGAAGCAGCAGCTTTTCTATTTCACACTTCTTGCCTTCTCTTCTGAAGAGAAATATAAATGAAATGTTAGGAAGACAGCTAGTGTGTGAGAGATTATATACCTAGTGGTACATTTAGTAGTGGAGTGTAGAGTATATCTGGTACTTAAGTAGTGCCAGCAAGGTTTCTTAGATTCTTAGTTACTTTAGGACCACCCGTATTTCACTTCCAAAAATAAATTTTTGCTGCTTTATGTTGAAAGAAACTTCTGGACTTAGAAGCATAAATTAGTTTTTAAATATTTTGGATAATAATCCTATTTTTTTTGAGGTGTGATAAGCAATCTGACCACATGTAATTAAGAACAATTTTTTCAGGTAGTGTTCAGCTTCTCCATTCCATATGCTTAGCCCCGCTCTTCCTTCTAATCCTTCTACTGTTTTAGTGATGCAGGTTTTTTTCTTTTTTGGTTATTTTTGTTTAAATTTGAAGCTTAAATGTGAAGTTTACAGTGTAGCTGGTTTTTCTGTGTTAAGGTTTAAATCTTTGTTCTTCTACCTTCATTCCCAGTTGCACTAGATTGATAATTAGTTTTAGTTATTTGCTATTTTAAAACCATTGTATACTTCCATTCAAGTGAGATTTCAAAGAAAGAAAAAAATCCTAATGTATTTATATATTTTTTTTGTTACTTGCCTTGCCAGTATAGTATCATTGTTGTATGTTCCAATAGGGAACTTGTTAGGAGTATCTCTATAGTGGTAGCTTTCTGTGATGTATTTTCAGTCACTTACAATTTCTTAATGCAAACTTATTAGCTCTTTTTTTCCTATTGCTTCTAGCAACGGGTAATGACGTGCTTCCGAGCATGGGAAGACTGGGCAATCTATCCAGAACCGTTTTTGATCAAACTACAGAACATTTTCTTGGGGCTTGTAAATATCATGGAAGACAAAGAAACAGAGGTAAGTGTCCTTAGTAGTGATGTGAGCAGATGATGAGAGAATGTGTAGGTATAGAATAGAACTGACAAGGGATATTTGGATATTTATTTGGTAAATAAAGCTGTTATTTGTAAAAGTAATTTATGGATTTTGGTTAATCTTTGTGGTATGAACATGCTTATGTAGCACCACAACCTTTTTTATTAATGTCAAATCCTTTGTCTTAAAAATAGGTATAACAGATGCAAATATTGTTTAATCTGTTAGTGTGTTTGCAGCTTGTAGATAATATACTGCACCAGATAGCTTTCTGCAACCATTTCAGTGCAAAGGCTAGTGCAGAATGATGTACATTTTCTATGTGTTGGCAATACCCTGCAGTGTCTGTGAATTCAGAGTTTGATTTTTCCACCGTTAGTTTTTAGTTTTTGAGAATTCTGAATAATGTGGAGTAGGGGAACTTTCAGGTCGTGGCTTGAACTGGCGATTGAGCACCTGCTGAAGGGGTGAGGCTGGTCCAGGGAACACGGGCAAATTGTTTGCCTCTGTGTTCCATACATGACAGAAGGGGTGAAGCCAGGGTGGAGCCACCCTGGACTCATGTAAGGGCCAGCCACTGAAGGGAGAGCATTTCTTGGGCCTAGGCTGCTTTCTGAGAAGGCGTGCTGCATAGCCAGAGAGCTCCTTCACGAGGTGGGCGAGTTTTGTTCTTCCTTCTCTGTACGACTATTGGCCTACTTGTGAATACTTTGCCTGGTATTGCCAAGAATCTGTCAGAAATCCGCTTGCTTCTTTGTAAGCGGAACGCTTGGAATTAGTTAAATGAGCCATCGGTTTTCTTTCTGCATGAGTTTCATGGTTAGTTTAAAAGAGCCATTTCATCTTTCTTAATTTGGAAGGAAAGACTTGCAATAGATGATTTGTACTGGTGGTATTCTGCATTGGTCTTTGTGTTATATTAGAGCAAAAAGTTGCTAACTTTTTAGTTATGTTACAGCATGTATCTGTCTTCTTTTTATTTCCCTGCCCCTGGTTAGTGGTTATTTTAAACAGGCTCTGTAGTGAGTTCTGTTGACTGCCTAAAATAGTGATGCGTTCACTGTTCTTCAGTATTTTAAAGCTCAGTGCTTAAAAATTCTAGAGTACCATTAGCACTGAATGAAGGTGTACTGACTTGTTTAAAGTTTTGTTTCCGCTGTCTTGATTCTCTTCAAATAATATTACTTATTCTTGCTAAATAGTTAATTTCTGACAGTGGTACAAATGACTGGTTCTTAGGAGACCTTTCATATGTAATAAGTGCAGTCCGTCTGACTGATTGGCACATTTTGAGTTAACCCTCAGCTTAATGTTTTTATTTGGATCATGAGATTCTTTGGATTGAAACTACAAATTTTCCAGTATGTTATGGACAAATTCAGGTTCTTGCTTATCATTTTGTATGGGATGACACTGTCATACTTTTACTCAGCAATAAGCAAATGTAGTTGGTAGCGGAACATTGTTAAATTTGAGGGGTTTTTGGGGGTGTTCCAAGTCTTTTAAAGCAATTCTTTTTAAAAAGAAATAAGTAATTGGAGAAATAAAGAAAAACAACTTAGATTTATTCTTTGATTTACTCAATCTAGATTTATTTGATACTATCTTCTTTCAGGAAGTACCAGATGATCTTGATGGTGCTCCCATTGAGGAAGAGCTTGATGGTGCTCCATTAGAAGATGTGGATGGAATTCCTATTGATGCTGCTCCTATTGATGATCTGGATGGAGTTCCTATTAAATCATTGGATGATGATCTTGATGGAGTACCTTGTATGAAATATTTCAACTTCACTTGCAATTTAAACCTTCAGTTTTTGATTATGGATGTTGACAATCTTTGTGGCTACCTCTAGTCCCCTCGAACAACCTGGACTCATGTAGTTTAGTAACTGCTTAATTTCAATTAATCATAGGAGGAATTAATTTAAAATTTACTTTAGATTGTAATTTTTTGAGTTACATGATAATAGATGCATCTCAGCTTCCAAATACTTATTTTCTTTGCAATTGATAAAGTGATATAATAAACTTCAGCATTAGCATCAGACTGCTTAGTAAGAATTTTTAAGTTAGAATTTTCGTAGAGCTTAGGAAATGATTTTTCTGGGTCTTTCTCCAACAGTGGATACAGCTGAAGACTCAAAAAAGAATGAGCCTATATTTAAAGTTGCTCCTTCAAAGTGGGAAGCAGTGGATGAATCAGAATTGGAAGCTCAAGGTTAGTTTTCAAAGTATCTGTTGTAAGGCTGTTTTCCTAAGTAAGCTGGCAGCTTGAATTCGCTTACTGATTTAATGATTATTGTCAGCTGCTCTGTTTGAAAATGCTAATATGATTTCTGTAATAACGCCACAGTTTTCAATTGTGTTTTTTTTTTTTTCTTGGTTGTCTTCTGTGAAGGAATTGGTTTATTTTGTTTTTATTTATGTACTTTGGCAGCCTCCCAGCCTTTAAAACTAATTTCTGATTCATTAAGAGTAATTATTAGAAAAATCAGAGTATTTTTCTATATATAGAAGTCTTTTTCCAAATAGGTTTGTGACAGTTAAGATTTTATAAGCTAACAGATACTTCATTGCTTCTGAAAGGTTTACTGACAGTAGATGACATAAGTGGATATCTGTAAGCAAAATATATTCTGATAAGTTGTAATTTGTAATATTTGTGAATTAAGAAGTCTATATTAAGTGTTAGATGCTGTAAGGTTTTTCCATAATGTGATTTTTATTGTACCTACAAATAGGAATTTTCAGATAAAGTGATAACTTTTTCTGTTGTTGAAATTATCTTATTGTGTTTTCTAGCTGTTACCACTTCTAAATGGGAGCTTTTTGATCAACATGAAGAATCTGAGGAGGAAGAAATACCAAAGTAAATATTTGAATTTTTTCTTATCTTTGTCTAGCATTTCCCTTTATTAAGTAGTATTTTTTTCTGAAAGCTAAGGTGCCACCAAAGTTACAGAAACATTTTAAACACATCTGCAATGGCATTTTAACTTGTTCACGTTACTTTTCAGATTGCTTTTGCTTAAAATCTTAGAAATTGAGGGCACTTGAATACATTTTCATCAGTATGAAAAATGATTTATTTTCTACCTTTGAGATTGAATGTATTGATAATCTGTTTATGTTAGATTTTATTACAAGAGCAGAACAAAAGAAATATTGAAAGTAAAAATATAAGAAAATAGAAAGCTGGAATTTTTATTGCAGCATGCTTTTGGCCCCTGTGAACGTGGAAAAATGCACTTTGTGGTAGAGTTGTTAACTGTTATCTTTAAAACGATAATGATTTGTTAACCTATTTAATGTCAAATTGTTAGAACTGGGGTAGTATTTACAGTTTGGTAATCTTGAATGTCAGATTTATTTGAAGGGGTCTAAAATTCTGCCTTCTCTCTGTACACGGAAGAATGAATGATATCCTGATGTGTATGTTTAGATGCTTATAGACTTCCTACCATCTGTTGTTTTTCAGCAGTCTTCTTCATTCTTCAGGCAAATAGAGAGCATCTGTTAGTAGCGCTTTAAACATTTTACTGCCTTCTATGTTGTGCTGAAGCACTCTAGCGGCCAATCTGGGAATATCATTTTGAATATTTGCCGTGGTTGAGGCTTGCTTTCAAAAATAGAGTGTAGGTAGTTTTGTTCTTTAATAGCACTAATTATGTCTGAAAAACATGATTACAGTACTTACAGATTCGACTGAAGTAATAACTTGTCTTGTAACTGAGTTCTGTCTGGGTTTGCTGACTGTAAATTTCAAGAATTCTTGTTTTGTTTATATGAAAAATGTAAATTATCTGAGGAATAAAAGTTAGTGATACAATTAAATGAAAATATAGAAGTATCTGCCTCACAGACTGAGACATTTGTGTAACTGCAGTTTGTTACATTTAGCAGATTTCTAAACTAGTAACTAAATGCAAACTGAGTAGTAGAGATGGTAAATTTTATAACAAATTGTCTTTGGTATGTACAAACCAGTTGATTCTTTGTTTTCTGTAAAGTCAAGAAGAGGAAAGTGAAGATGAGGAAGACACTCAGAGTTCAAAGTCTGAAGAGCAACACATGTATTCCAATCCTATTAAAGAAGAGATGCCTGAGTCCAAGTCATCAGTCAAATATTCAGAAATGAGTGAAGAGAAACGTGCCAAACTCCGGGAGATTGAGGTGGGTGTGTGGTATTTTGTGCCAACCTTCTGTATCTTTACAATTCCCCCGTCCATATCTTCTCTACTTACTGTTGGAAATTATTTTGAAATATTATTTAAATATATTGAAATACGGTTCTGATATACAGGTTTATTTAGTCTGGTGTATTTTTTATAAAGGTTGGTTTACTATTGCCTTGCTTTTATGTTGACTTAAGATAACACAGGAAAAAATTAGTGGTTAAGTCTCATACATTGCCATGCAAATCAGGTTTAAAACTGCATGCTAATTTCCAGCCTTTATTTGGTGTTGAAACCTGTAATGCATTGATACTGCTGTTTTTTGTACCTTCTATTCAGCGATTTAAAATGGTATTAACAGGCTGCTAAGCTGCTGTTGAAGTTACAGTATCTCCACGTGATAGATTATAATTCTGAAGGCGGCAATGAACTGCCTACCTGTTTGTGCTACAGTGTATTGCTTAGCAAATGAGACATTAGCAAACTCCCATAATATTCCTTAAGGGTTTGCAAGCATTAACGTTATAAAATATCACATCCTTTGTTTATTGCAAACACGCTTCCATTTAAAAACTCATTTTATGAAAATTAATGAATGGTAACTAAGAACTTAAAGTGCCTCTTGCTTATCACAGTAATGTGAAAGCTCATAGCATGTGGCCGTTTGAAGTAAGTTGTGAATTACTTGAGAAAAGACAAATGGAAGCTAAACCTCTCTTAACTCAAGGTGGCAGTAGTTTTGTAGGAAATCCATGTTAGGCAAATTGAAGTACAAGCAAAACAAGTTTTCATTTTACTGTAATTATTACAGTAGGTATGGGAAGGGCTCATTCCAAGTAAGGGTATCTTCTTGTAAATGTTAACCTTTATGAACATGTATAAATAATTTTACCTTAGCAATTGTTGAGGTAGATAGTGAAGTGATTTACTCAAAAGTTAGCAATTTTATACTAAGTGTTCATAAATGCATCCTCTGCCTGCAACAGGTTAGGCAGTAAACTTTTGAGTTGTTTGGATTTCTTGCCTTCTATATTACCATAAATCACCAGAAGAGGAGTGTAATTTTTTTCACTTTTGAAACACTTCAGGCACTATGCTGATGTGCTTAAATTCTCAAATTTCTATGTAAATTTATCATTGAGAGATGTGTACTTCCTGTGTTGCTTTAAATTGTTCACGCTGAAAGCTTTCTGCTATGTACTCAATTCCTGCCAAAGAACACATCCATTGCTGAGTTCAAAGACAGGAATTATATTAAAAAAATGAAAATGAAAAGTTCCCCAAACAAACCACAATTGCTGACTTGAACAGATATGCCATCTAATATACTGTTAAAAATGTCATCTAATATCTCTGGTGAAGGCTAATTCTCTAGATGCTTACATGATAATTACCATGGAAGCTGAAACTATTTTTTATGCATAGTTTTGAAATTTTTGCTACACAAATAACAGTTTCTCTTGGCACAGTTATTTACGCTTGTTGGCTGGAGAGGAAGGTGGAGTAACAAAGAAGCTTAAGGAACCTTGGCCCTGTCAGCACAGGCTATATATAGCTGAGATTTCAGGTTATTAACCCTTTGCCTGCATCTATCCTTGTGAAAATAGGCTTCAAGAATTGTTTCAAGTTAATCCTGCATCCTCTCATTGTTCAGGTGTGTACCAGACATTTCTGGCAGACTTAGCCAGAGCAAATCTCCTTAGTTTCAGAAGCTGAAATCACTTGGATACCAGTCTTCAAACCTTCAGAACAGCAGCTGCTTATGTAGTGGCTTTTTTTTTTTTTATACTGTAGATTGTGACTTTCTGTGGTAACTTGTGATCTCAACCTCTCAGTACAGGAGTGCACATTTTGGAAGGTGCAGGAACTTATTTGTGAACAAAATGACAAGGTGATTAATTGCTTTGAAGTTTACAGATCTGTGCTGAAGAAGCACAGTGCAGGCTTCATCTGCAGTAGGAAGCAGATTTTTCATAAATCCAGCCATATCAGTCTTTATCAGGTCAGAACTGGAGGAGGTTCTTTAAGCACTAAAGCACTAAGTTCTGTAGTATGGGAGTGGTGAGGTTCTGAAACAGGCTGCCCAGAGAGGTTGTGAGTGCCCCATTGCTAGAGGTGTTCAAGGCCAGATTGGATGGGGTTCTGGGCAGCCCGGTCTAGTATTTAATGAGGAGGTTGGTGGCCCTGCGTGAGGCGGGGGGGTTGGAGATTCATGATCCTTGAGGTCCCTTCCAAACCTGACCATTCTGTGATTCTGTGAAGGTTCTCCTTTTCAGTAGCCACTGAGACCTCAAAGCAATGTCTGATTTCTTAAGCAGAGGTAGAAGACGAATGGCTTTCAGTCTTCCTGTTCAGACTCTCCACTACAGGAGATGTGGGTAGGATTCTGTCACAGAATTCTGTGTGCTCTGTCAGTAACACCCTGCCCAGTGCATACAGGGATCCTTTTTTCACTAACAAAAGTTGTCATATTGTTGTACGACTTACTTTTCTAACAAGAGGCAAAGAGGTTTTTCCTGTGTGTCATAAAGGAAAACAGTAATTGTCTTTACTTTCTTGAACATAGGAGATTAAAGTTCTTTTAGGTAGAATTTGGTCTCCAGTGGAGAAGGCAGAAGGCAAGAGATGAGATAAGAATAGATTAAACATAATCCACAAGAGAAGATTGCATCTGAGGCCTATTCTGGATTTAAAGGCTCTCTTTCTTTGTTAAGAAACTGAATTTCCATATGGTTTCCATTATTTCTTTCAGTAGATTATGGTACTTCATGTGCAGAATATTCATTTTCTGTATATTTGTTGATCAAGACATAGGATCTATTTGAGGCTTGTTATCATCTCTATAACAATATAACTTGTTAATCTCTGCAGTCTGAGAAGATTTGTGTATATAGCTCATTTGAGGCCACTGCAAAATGTTGGAGATAACATAATAAACATATGAACTCTTTCCAACTTAGTAATAACAGATGAGATAAATTGGCCTTTGCTTGACCAGTAGTTTTGCTATTTGTAGCAGTTTTTCCTTAGATGATGATGACTATCATAATGCTGCAGAGATTCTGGTCTATTTGAAATCTTTGAATCTACTTCTTTTTTTACAGAAGAAAAAAGAGAAGAATTGCTTAGCTCTAAGACATGTGGCATCCTGTGCATGAGACTGAGTATGTCACGGTTCTGTTAGAGTTGAAAAGGTATTTCAGATCCGCACATCAGTACAGCTGTCATCTGTTGTTAATGATAGGATAGCTTCAGAAATCATAGTAGCCACAGTTTGTTGGAAAACACAGGCTTCCAAAGCAATATTTTGCTCTGCATCCTGTGAAGGCTAGGACTTCTTGCATCCTTATCATTGAGTCTCTTTTAAGGAAGAGCAAGTCAGTTAATAAGTAATACCTCTAGACTTCAATACAGTTACACATCAAGAAGGAGGTTCTGTCTTTAATCAATTATCTGGTGACTAGCTTATTGTTAATTGAAGTGGCATACACTAGTATTAAGTTCTTTGAACCTAAGCATTTAAGTTCTGAGGCTTGGTATTGTGTGTGCAATAGCATCTTGTTGAAAAGCATTTTTCCCTGGAAATCACTGTATATGAATTCAATATCAGCAAAAGGTTGGACAGCCAGGAACAGTTGGGGAATGTATTTAAGGGAGGGAGCTGCCCCTGTTTGTCAGAATAAAGAAAGCTGTAGGCTGGTATCAGCCTGCATTTTGCATGAATGGTGGTAGTAAGATGTTACCTTTCCTGTGACTTGGTTATTGGTTATCCAGTGATTAAAACCACACTTGATAGGAAAAGCAGAATCTTTTTAAAACGAGTCTTCCATGCAATTTGAGGAGTGGGAAAAAAATTACAAAGTTAGAACAGACAGGGAAAAAAAAAAAGACTTGTTGTGGAGCTGTTTCTCTTGAACTTGTGTGATGTACTGCCTTAGGCTTAGTGAGAAATGTGATCCTCCATTGGAGGATATGGTAGAGGTAACTCACAAGAACTCCAGTGGCTTTTGTGGGTAAAATGCAAGTAGATAGCAAAGGAAAAGTTTTCCTTTTCCATGTTACTGTGTGTACTACTGACTATAGAGATGGCCTAGATAAAGTTGGCATCTCTGCTCCTAAAATTAAAGGGATTTATAACTTTTACTTCTGTTGCCCAAGAGTAGTTAAGTAAATAATTAAAAAACAAAACATGAGAACATTTCAGTGATAATAACATGTTAGTTAGTTCTTTCTGAATGCAGGTTAAAGGAAGTGAAACGTTTACAACAATCTCGATTAGATACTTAAGCAGATTTAAGCCTGAGTTTTAAGGATCTCTCTCCTGAAGGGATATCTGCAGTTCTATGAGAGGAATGTAAGTACCACACACACTGCATGAAGTGATCAGAAAGAAGAGTATTTGGTTTGCCAAATACCGGCCAGAATGCCAGGAGTGGTGAAGGCCACCAGCAAGCAGCACAAGCTGCTATGCAGCTGCTTACCTCCACTGAAAGGGAATAGCCTATGCCTACCTGGACCCTGGTTGATCTTTCTGTGAGCCCACACAACTTAATAATGCTGGAAAAAAATGGGATTGTGAGGTGGGATTCTGCTGGATTAATGAATTTACATGGTTCATGGAAGGTTTGGCCAACCACTACGGCTGCTGTAAGGAAAGGATGGAGAAGGAACCCTTTGGCTGGAGCACAGGAATATATAGGGCAGGATGGAAAGAATAACCTTCCTGTAGTGAGCCATTGTGATCACCTCAGTGTTTTATAACACGTAGTTTCTTGTTTGCAAGGAGTTGTAGTAGGCCCAACTGACTTGATTATTTTAGGAAGATGCTGTGGTTAGAGGAAATGTATGTGCATTCATAGGGAGATAGGATGGTGTGGAAGAGAGCACTGTTTATGACCCTTAAAATCTAAACACTAAGGTTTCCTGAGACAGTTGTGATCTTTTGCAGAACAAAGTGAGAATTTGACGAAGAGTTGGGTCAGTGATTATTGTATAGGTTTTTCTCCCTTTTTCCCCTCCTTTTTTCCTCTGTAGTCACTTGTTAAGATCTATTTCTTTTTCTTTTTTTGTGTTCCTTTTTCACCCGCATTCTTAGAGAAAGCATTCAAATAGTTCCTCTTGGCACTTCAGGTGTCTTGCTGGCAGTGAGTTCCATGACTTGCATTCAAGACAAATTCCTGGAAGTTCATTATTTTTGTGTCCAAGTTACTTAATGACCTGTTTGGTGGCAGAGACTTCAGAGATGCATAGTTACCCTTGCTGTCTTTTATCTTCCTTTTGGAGATCTCACAGGTGTGCTTTGTCAGATGGGTAATGTGCCCAGCAGTCATCTTTCTGTTTCCTGTTGTGATGGTGACGCTTTCCTTGCAGGCTTGTTTGTGCAAGGTTGTAGTCCTCACTAATTATGCTTAGAACAAATTTTAGCACGTTTCATTTGCATATGTTCACTGTGCTCTTGTTAGTACCCTAGAATGCTGGGCTTTGTAAACCCTTACGTGGTACATCCTAATGCTGTCCTGTGATGCATGAGGTATAAGCCTTTTTAAATCCTTTTTTTTCCTCAAAATGAAGCCACAAATGCAGGAAAAAATGTTCTCTTGTGTATATTGCTATGCAGGATCAGCAATAAAGCAGGAAATACTTGGAAGTCAGTGTAAGCATTTGGAAAAGGGTTGAGAAGTACAAAGTGACTTATTGCCAAGTTCCTCCTCACACCTCAAATGACACCTCCCCTGTCCAAAAGAATTGGAAGATTGTGATAGGCCATGTCAGCTGTGAAATCAAAGTTAGAATCAAGAATGGACAAGTAATAAGGAATGTGAGCAAAGTTTTAGGTTGTGAATCAAGTTGGAGAAAGGGTTGGTATATGTAGACCAAAAAATCCCCCTGGAATTCTGACAGTTGGTTAACTTTGTGACTGAGGTGGGGATGTTACGGAAATAAATGTAGAGTTACGCTTCACAGCACTGAGCTTTGATACTGAACTTGGTAGCACGTGGAAGAGTATTATGTCAGTAAAACCACCTCTCTCCAAATCAGCTGCTCAGTGCAGGCAGCCCTGAAGAGGAGATTCGATTAATGTCCTGTGTCATTCATCTGATTTTAATTGAGCGTTAAATGGAGGAAAGGCAGTTTTTGAAGAAAAATGTCTAGTAGACAGATGTTGAAACAATATATTAAAGAATGCAGTAAATGGTCTCATTTTGAAAGAAAAAGACAAGAAATACGAAGGTGCAATGTTCTAATGAAAAACAGAATTAATGAATGACCAAAAATTCCCTTTAGTTCCTGATGTGTCTGTAAACAACTGCAGGTGTCTGCGGACAAGTATGCGGTTTTGTTGCTTTGTTCTAACTAAAGTTAGCATTTTGTGCTCAAACTTGTATGGAAAGTATGAGCAATGTGTTAAAAATGACAGGAATTTCATTTTCAGTGACACGCGTAAGTGGATGACAATAATAAGCCCTGTCACCTAATGGTCAGTATTATTTTCACAGCTTAAGGTGATGAAGTTTCAGGATGAGTTAGAATCTGGGAAGCGACCTAAGAAACCAGGCCAGAGTTTTCAGGAACAGGTTGAACACTACAGAGACAAGCTGCTCCAGAGGGTAAGAACTGTTCTTTGTTTGGCTCTGATTCTGTGATAGGTGTTTATTGAATTTTATCAAATGTAAGGTGACAGTAAGTATAATGACAAATAGTTCTTGTGGAAATTGTGCTGTAATGTTGAACTGCACACTGAAATCCAAGTGCTGTTTCTGCACAGTAGATATCATCTCTTTTTAGAAATCAAAATAAATGTAGTGTTTCACACTGTGTAGATAAGTGTGGTGGGAATTGATTGTGACCATGAAGAGGTTGCTTCTGAATCGGCTCTGTAAAGTGAACTGTTAGGTGAGGGAGGTGGCAGGGAGAGCAGCCCACTGAAGATGTTCATCACTTCAGTTTTGGTTTTTTTGTAATTGACCAATTGTGCTAGAGGCTTCTGAAGGAAGAGAAGGAACAGTATAAAGCAGGAAATGCACTTCTGATTCTCCACTGTCTAAGACTCTTCTGGATGATTCCAGCTAATGCTGTCACCCAAAAGTGAATATTTTTGTTCCGTTACTATTTTTAATAGTTGTGTCTGGACTATGAAGTCAGATCAACTTTAAAAGCTAGCATTGTCTGTGTGAATAAAGAAAATAACCTGTTTGGACATTGTGTTTAGCGAGAGAGAGTAAGTGGTGGTTGCTTCTGTAATGTTCTTTCAGTCTGACAGAGCAGTGATGACATTAGAGATGCACGTGCATCTCTTGGAAGCTAAATACAAATGCTGCACTTCACAGCAAGTGTTTGTCACGTATTCTTTGGGTTATTCAGTGCTCAATATCTGCCTAATTCACGAAAGTAATTTTTTGCAGTATCTTGAAAAAAGACTTACAGAAAACAAAGCTGATCCTGGAACAGATTTATGTGTTTGGAAGTTGATGATAGCAACAATCACCCCCCACAATTTGTAATTATAATAATAATCATAACTTTATTAGATACTTTTGTGTTGGATTAGGTTATTTAGTAATTATTTCACTTTACTGTTTTTGCCTTCAGTGATGATACTTAGTTAAAAAGTACTTTATGATATTGTAACAGATATTCTTTAAATTATTAACCCCACTGTTAATGGGGAATAAATCCCTCTTTTGCCTTTTTTGCTTTAGCTCTATTATAAAATGAGTTTTTCTAGTAAAATAACAGTGGTTTTGGTTATATTTCCCACAGACTTGGTAGTTCTCCTGTCTAACTTGCTACAGAATGAGCTTTTGATGAGTGAAATTTCTAGTCGTGTTTAATATTTTTTAACAGAGAGGTAATTAGGACTGCTTAAAATACTGTTTATTCATATTCATTAAGGTAATTGGTTATGCTACCAAATGCGCATCTCGAGCCCACTGAATTTTAGTCCAAGAACAGCTTGTAATGGTCAGTATGATATGGGCATTTAAAAGTGTTAATAATAGTGTAAAGAAAGCATGAGATGAGATGAAGTGTGGTTGTTCAGCAATTTCCTGCAGTTGTATTATCCACCTTCCTCCCCTCTGCTTTTTTCCTTTCTTTCTCTTGAGCGAAATTACAACCTTTTTGGTGTTCCATTCCATTCAGGGTATGCAGTGAATATCTGCCTGTTATCTGTCAAGGAAGGATTTTTTTTCTATGTTAGACTGAGAGAAGTACACTTCTTCACCTCTCTATTCAGACTTGCTGACGTTCTAGCTTTATTTTTGTATAACTAATTTTCTAACATTTTGATAGACGCACGAGCTGTGCCTAGAGAGTAAGTTGCCTTTCAACTCATCAATTATCAAATCAAATATTGACTGTAGTTTTTTTACTGTGATTAAGAGTGGAAGTTACAGAAGAACTGGACTGCTGTTTTTGTAGTTGTCTCAGTTTTCTGTTTGGAATCACGAAGCTCGATAAATAAGCTTGAGTAGAAAGAGGTTCCTCGTATTCATTGCATGTGTATTTTGACTTAAGAAATGTATTATAGCCATATTTTTTCCCTGAAACTTGTAAAATTGGAGAGTATTCGTTTCTAATGATATAGTCAGATATACTCCCTCACATTGGGAGCCATCATCTTTTGTGTCTTTTGCAGTGCTTGTGTTACAGTAAATATTTCTGTCAGAAGCAATAGTAAAGGTGTGGAGTGTGGGTATGATGTGACTGAGTTTCTTCCCAGATTCAGTGCTTTTATGGTGTTTAGGATTAATTCTTTATTATCCCTACTTCAAAGTTGTACCTCATCTGAAATAATGAATTCTTCTAATCATTCAGGAAAAAGAAAAGGAGTTGGAAAGAGAACGAGAAAGGGACAAGAAGGACAAAGAAAAATCTGATTCTAGGTCTAAAGATAAGAAGGAAAAGGAGGAATGTACACCAACAAGAAAAGAGAGGTATGACTTCCCTTGGATTGAGTTTGCTAGTAGGAAAATCCAGTCCTCACAGTTAGTATCTTTGCTTACAACAGCAACCCTGAAATTGTTGCATCACAAAACATGTTTTTTTTCACTTGGGATATGAAGTTTTCAGCCACGTTTTAAAGGAATTGGTATTTTTCCCATCTCCCAAGTGACTTGCCCTTTTGAGTAGAGCCCTCTTTCTGATTATTGAGGAAGCATGATAACGAAATGACCAACTGAAAGCGATATATATTTAACTCTGCTTTATATCAGTAAATTGGCTGCTTCAGAAAACGGTAATGAATAAATTTGTGAATGTTTAATTATTATTTGTCTTGTGAAATTTCTTCAAAGTAGCAAGGCTAGAGTATTTGGTTCTATAGTGTTCTAAGATTTGTATAGCCAGATCTTCTGTAATATTATGCGTTGTGGTGAAGTGCCTTGCTTTTCAAGAATATGCAGCAGAATGCTTTTATGCTGTGTAAACGAAGATGAGTCATGGGTCTTAATTTTTTTCCAGCCAGTTACTTTAGAGTGTCTAATGTTACATGGGCCAAAGAAAGGGAATCTATTTTCTTCATACACATTTTTACTTCTGTGTAGGTGTGTAATATGTAACAAACGCGTTTTCTTTCCAAAGGAAAAGACGGCACAGTGCTTCCCCCAGCCCGTCTCGCAGCAGTGGCAGTAGAAGAGCAAAATCCCCATCCCCAAAATCGGAGCGCTCAGAGCGCTCTGAACGGTCCCACAAAGAGAGTTCCCGTTCTCGGTCATCACACAAAGACTCTCCAAGAGATGTCAGTAAAAAAGGCAAAAGGTAAGCTGGCTTTTGTTCTGTTTCAGTTTGTGTGAAAGCTAGATATGTAGCTCTTAGGATTTTTATCTAAGCACACTGGAAACACACAATTTTTTTTTCCTAATGGAATAAACAAACTGCTTGTTGCTGGTTAATGTCTTTGGATGCTTTGTGTCTGAAATGTGTGTGTCCTTCAGCCTTAATATCTCAAGACTGTTCACTTCTGTGTTCTTGTTTACCTGCTTACTGATGTTACCTAAAATCAACCTGCTCTTTGATCAGTTTTTCCTTTTCATAGTGCAGTCTTGTGTAGCCCATAGAATTGTAGTTCTTACAATGTGCATGCTATGTTTCACTGATGATTCTGTACGTGAAGCTCCTCTCTCACATTTTTTCTATGAATAAAATTGTGATTAGATGTGTGTTATGGGTTATTGTTCATAAGAGTACATATTGTCTGATTTCCAGACTGGTGCAGATATTAGCCACTAGCTAATGTTAAGGCTACAATGAGATCTTATTATTGGTGCTTTTGCTGCTTTAAGTATTTTGGTGGTTGTTTCTGTCTTAATTCAGCCACATTTTTTAGAGCTCTAGAGTATCTTATTGCGCAAACATGCTGAGGAGAAATTCCTGTGATGCCCTTGAGAAAAATCGTAGAGCATTTTTACACTAATCAGATTCTTTTATTAGAAGTAAGCAATTCAATTAGAATTAGGTATTTGAGATTTATTTTTCATTAGAGTTAATATGATGGCAGTTCAGTTTAGATTATAGGAGATTAATATATAAGGTTATATGAAATGCATTACTGAGGTATGGATTACATGATGGTGTCCATTCTGCTTCTCTCGGGTTACAACACGAGCTGAACAGAAATCAGAAGGATTTCAGCATAACACAGTTCAATATAATCTTTCACTTCTGAGATCATCCGTGTGGATATTGACTGCCAGAAACACAAGAGCCAAGTTTACTAAGGCAGTTGTGGAAGGCTGTAAATTGCATATTTTGATTTAAGAAGGACATGATTTGATGTAATTTATTCTTCTGGTTTCTGAGTAGTGAAAGGCAAAATACGTCTAAAACATTAAAATGCAGAAATGACCTTTTCCTTTAAAAACAAGGTACGGTTCCGTCACTTCCCTTCAACATCGGAAAAAGATGGTAGTTAGATTATCTCAAAACAGAAATGGCAAGTAACCATAAAGTTGATGTTGCCCGTTAGCCTTGAACATAAAAACTTCATCTTTGTAAGATTTTTATTTTTATTTTTTTGCAGGTCACCATCTGGTTCCAGGACACCCAAAAGATCAAGAAGATCACGGTCGAGGTCCCCTAAAAAGTCAGGGAAAAAATCCAGGTCTCAGTCCCGTTCTCCTCACAGATCTCACAAGAAGTCAAAGAAAAGCAAACACTGACAATGTTGATATTTTTTATGATGCTGTCACTTACTGGAAATGCAGTTTTGTTTTTGTGCCTGAACAGTCTGTTTAAAAAAAAAAAAGGAAAAAGAAAAAAAAAACAAGGAAAGAAAAGGAAAAAAACCAACAAAAAAGCATTCCTGATTTTTTTTTTGTGAATGCACGTGTATACTCATGAGTATCTGCATCTGTAGACCCGTCATTGTTTTATATTGTACAAAATATCTTCCTTGTGACTATTTCCCAAATGAAACATTTTTGTGTTTAGAAGTTTCATCAGATGTGTGTAACTGATCTGCTGGCAGTAGTGATATTTTGTTTTAGAATGTTGTGACATAGCAGAAATAACTCCAATGTTCCCCCTCTTTTGTAGCTTTGACAATTTGAATTAGATTTCAAATAAAATCTGAACAGAAAATGAAGATGTTGTTTTCTTGCCCCACTGGGGATGCAGATTTATAATGAAATTCGTAGTTTGTGTGGAAGTACTGTGCATTTCAGGCATACTATGGTGCATAGGTTTTTGGTACAGTAATAGCTGTTCCTGTTTCCTCTAGCTTGACTATCCAGATAAAAGCACCTTTTGAATCCAGTGGTTGGATTCTCCTTTCTGCCATGATATTTTACTGTAAGAGCAGTTGAGCAGTCTGGTCCCAAACATGAGCAGCTTTGCAAGTAGATCTTTTGCTTGGTATTTTGCTGTTTTAATCCCAGGCAGTATTTTTTCAAGCAGAGCAATGTGGTTGTTCATTTTTTTATTTTTTTTTTTTTAATTAAAAAAAAAAAAAAATACTGCAGAGATGCATCGTGTGTATGTGTATCATATAATATGGTATATCAGCAAGTTATATTTTCACATTAATGGGGATCAGTGGAAGGATAGCAAGCCTGAGGCTCTGACTTACTCCTGTAGTATAGGTACAGTAATATCAGCTTGCAGTTAAAAATGAAAAATGATTTTTACTCTGAATGTACAACTTTTTTTTTTACATTGTTTTTGTGGAATTTATTCTTTTTCCAGAAATTCTACAAAATAAGAAAAAAGTCCAAGCAAGTATTTTTAATTACTTCGTTTTTTATGTTATTTGGAATCGAGAGGCTGTCTGACTTTTGAATTTCCCCTCTCCAAACCTGTTCAGCATTGCTTCACCTTGGTCTCTTTCATGCAGCCTTTGGGGGGGGAGGAAGGGATGTGGGAATGGGACGGGCACGAGAAAGGGGGAGGGTTCCGTGTTCATACTTGAAGGTATGGGCAGATTGTAATAAAAGCATAATGCTAAAGGGATGTGGCCTCCTGTGAACTCTTTCTAAAAGTCAACAGCTGCACTTAATATAGGCACAGAGTGTTGATGATGCCTGCTATTGTATCTCTGGATTTGGAGGTTTTATGTTTATTAGAATTTTGTAAATGTGATGGGGAAAATATTTGTTGTGTATGTATGTAGCCTTGGAGGCAGCACTTCCAGAAACAGGATCTAAAAAATCTTCTGAAAAATGTACAAATTGCATTTGGAACGAATATGTATTTTTCTCCATTTTTTTCCTGCGTGGGAACTTTGTTACAGGGTTATATAAATTCTTTTCAATGTAAGAACCAAGTGAAAAATAACTGAAAACTTTGCTAATGAGAACTGAGAGATGATCTATAATACTGGAAGCACGGAGAATGCATGTGTACTGTAAAGGGTTTCTTACAAGGAGTGTTGGACAGATGCCTAAATAATGAGAAGAATGCAGCTTTTTGTATAACATTATAAGAATTTGTTCTAGAAATAGGCAGCTTATTTTTCTTGCATTTTTCTTTCTGTAACATAACATTTCAGATGTACAGGTTCTGGCAGCTGAACTATTGTGAACTAAGGTTTTTTTTTCCTCTAAAATACATTTTCTTCAGACCTAGCACAGAGTGGAACAAATTTTCTAGAGCAAAAAAATAAGTACTAAAGTCAGGTTAATTTCAGATCTGATTGACTTCTTTAAAGCTATTGTTTTCATCTTGGAGCTGGTTGTAAATGGAGAAGTGATAAATGGTAGCGTGCTGAGGGTAGAAAATCACTCAGTGTATAGGTTTCAAAAATTAGTTTTGATTTCAGCTTTTGCAGCATTTTCATCAGTGATTATAAAAGGTTGAAACCGAGGCACTGCAGAGCTACAGGAGCACACCTGTTAGGCTGTTTTGTAGCAGCTTTATTATACCTTTTATCAGTATCTTTGTTGTCTAAATGCTGTCTGTGTTACCATTTATTACCTCTTGCTCTTTGCTTCATATCCCTGACTTCAGAAAAGCTGTTTTCTTGCTTAGAGCAATTAAGAATCTGAATGTGTGGTGGTTGGGGTTTTTTTTGCTGGCTTTTAGTTTAGTTCCTACCCCCGCACTCAACAAAAGGTTGAACACCTTTTGGTCCTGTCTACTCTTCCTTTTCTTCCATGGTCTTGTAAGTAGTTTTGTTCATACCCTGGCTTTTCTGCAGAGAAGGGGGATGCAGCACACCATGCTGTGTCTGGGCCGGTGGCTGTGTGCTGCTACTGCAGACTTGTTTGACTGATGTTCTGCGCCGCTTTGGACTGAAGTGGTGAAAAAGCCTCTGCTTTACATAGGGTGGGCATCTTTTAGTTTTGATCTGGGATTCAGAAAGTAGGGTTGGCATGAAGCCTTGTGGAAAAGCTCCAGACAAGGGTGATGTGATCCAGTGTTTTCAAATGTTATTTCTGATTCTACATGGGGACAGCCCATTATCTTTGAACACTCCATATTCAGTGAGTATCCAACCCTTTGCTTCGGGAGGGAGAGGAGCCATGAGTGGATAAGGAATTTCTTGTCTCCTCCCACCCCTGGTATCAAAGAGAAATGTTCATGCTTGTGTGATGAGGTTTTTCCAAAGCACAGAAACCAATGCAGCTTGCTGCCGCTGCGTTGTGGTGTGGCTGAGCAGTGCTCTGCAGCCTGAAATACCAGCTCTTGGGGCTCAGCTCAGCTGGGGTTCTGAGGGAGGTGGGCTCACCTTATAAACTGAGTGTGTGTTAGTCCCAGGTAGGGCCTAGCGGCTGTCCTGCTGACAGACTTAGATGAAGCCTACCTTGAGATGACATTGAATATTATGGAGCATTTTGGTACTTGTGCAAACTTGTTCTAGGCACAGAGCTTCAATTCATCTTTTTTTTTGTATTTTTTAAATTTAATTCTGAACCATTCTTCTCGTGTGAACCTTTGTACGAATTGCACCCACACTTGGAGTGAGGGAGCCCCACCTCTGGAGAAAAACTGCTTGGCTGTGTACAGTCTGTGTACAGTCTCCTGGTTCACATGTTTTCCGTATCGTTATACAGAAGCGTTCACAATTAGCTTCTTTTGAAACCCTGTGACTTCCTTTGACTCCCCTGCACAGCAGCTGCATTTACCCTTTGCAGTATAGTTCTTGAGGAAGAGCTGATTTCTGAAAGTTGAGGTTCATATGTAGGCACTGGATGCTGTGCAAGTATTTTGCTTCCCCCTTGGAGGCTCTGAATTGTGAGAATAAAGCGTTTGTCACCAAGGCTGACAAGTAATGTTTTCCAGAGCGTGTGCTTAGAGCTGCAACTACCCAAATTCTTTATTAGTGCATCAGTCCCAGTGAAAAAAAAGCAGTAATTTGAAGAGGTTACGCCCAAGCTCGATCATGATTGATTTTATTATTTTTTAGTTTTTGGAACAAACCAGACCCTCAAAATGCTCTTCTCTCCCCATGCCTTAAGCTGTGAGGATACATACTGGCATGCATACCCTCTTCTCCACTGCATGTACTTTTTAAAAAATAGTTTGTTTCTATGAAGAAAGACTTGAGCTGCCTCAAAGACATGTACTGGTAGTTGACTCCAGGCCCCAGCACTGAGATAGTTTTCAGTTTGTACAGGTTTTATTCAAAGTGTTTTCAAGGCAGAAGCTGGAACTGTGAAAATTGTACTGGAACTCTAATTCAGCATGAATAATACTTGACATTTCTGAGCATAGAGTGCTCAAAACTTCTTGGGAAGTCAACCATTCTTGAGGTGTGTTTGCATATTAAAAACTTCTCATGTCTCTGAACTGTATCAATAAAAGGAAAAAAAAAATAGAATCTTGTGATACAAAAAGCAAGATCAACCAAAAATGGCAAATACATTTTGATTATCTTTCATCTTAATTTTTTTTTTTTTTTTTTTTTTTTTTTACCACATTGATTTACAGTCCTTTGGAATTTGTGCTTCTAACAGATAAGAATTTGAAGAACTTGTACTTCTGCATATGGAGTGAGGTCTGAATTTTGTGTCTAGGTTTAGATTGCTAGATTGCTGGCTTGCTGACCTTGGGCCTCTTGAGGGATTTGGGGCAAGGTTTTGCTCAACTATTTTGTGTCTGTGCTGCACAATTACACAAGAGCTCAAATACTCGGGTGCATTAAGGTAAAAGCTTTTGATGAATATTTGAATCTCTGCCTTCTTAACCTAACCTGATCTGCTTTCCATATATTCTTTCTTGAAAGATTTTGGGTTTAGTTACGGAGGTCCAACAAGAGAAGTGAATTCTCTAAAGCTGAAGACAGTGACTGTGGAGTAGGCTGTAAGAGAATTTCATGGTTCACTTTTTCTAAAATCAACTGTTTAGTAATGTGAGACTTGACGAGTTACAAATCTGACACCTGCACTCAAACCCAGGAAATAGTTTAATAAGGATGTTAAGTTCCTAAAACTGTTTCATTCAAGCAGAGTAATACTTGGAAATGTCATCTTGTCGTTACTGCTTGAGATACTGCAAGACATTCAGTGTGCCACCCGTTCACGCTGCTGTAACTGCTGCTATCCAGTATTAAAGCCACTCTTGTGAGAATCGTAACTCAAATATTAATTAATTTTGTCCATCTGTATTTTCCTTGTGTAGAATGCAGGAATCTTAACTAATTGCATATATTTTTTCCTTCACTCGCTTCTGTCAGCACAGTCAGTTTTCATGGGTAAGCTGGTTCCGTTTGTCACTCTTCTGATGTCTGACCTTGTGCAGGGATGTCTTACTGTGTGGCTGTCATAAGCTGGAAAGTTTTCTGTTCGTGGTTACCTAAAGAGGAAATGGTAGTTTCACATGAACTTTTTTGTCTTATTTTGTTTGTATTCTATGCAGAAAATTTCCCAAACGACACGGTGACAATAAAATTGTCAGTTTGCCAATATCCAGTAATGGTTTTATTTTTAACCTGCTAAAATGCACTGTGCACATGTCTTTTGCAAACAACAGTTTCTTACTTTTGCCAGCTCATCCGGTGGCTGACTCTGATCGTGCCCACGTTGTCCAGCTGTGATGCTGCTGCTGTGCTCCTGCTGTTAGCAGTGACCTTGTTTCTTAGAAGCCCACTAACAAGGCGTGGGCTGTTCACTGGAGTTGCTCCTATAATCCTCTCTTGAACAAAGAATCTCCCGCTTGGAGGAACTGCTTAGGTATTAAGGTGATGAGCAGCTCTTCAACCCCTGAAATTGCTTGCAGAAACTTCACGTGAAGGAAGCAAGGCCTGTGTAGTGCTGTATGAGGGCGTGAGTTACGGCCAAGCCATGTCACAGCCTTTTGCTGCTGTGTGCTGCAGGTCCTGTTTCTGATGCCACCTGCTCTGATGCTTGTGTCTTTTCTGGTGCCTTTAATGCCCCGTAGGTAACCAATTCATTAAGAGAAAAAGCTTTTTCTTAAGTTTTTCATGCGAGTGACTTCCTGCTGGCTTGGTGGGTTAAAGTGACTCAGAGGTGGGCAGGTTACTC